ACAGTTACAAGACACAACTCACTGGCCTGACAAGGAAAAAATCCCAAGTTTTTGCAGGAAATGTTTCAGCAGTGTGATTCCCTTCATGTAAAATATACACTAAACAAAACCAAAAAAAAAGAACAATTTTTCATTTAGCAACACCACACATTATACCACTGCATGGAATTTTGAAAACTTTCAAGACAGACCGAGGCCTATTTTAAAAACAGGTGCATGAACTGAACTACTTACTTCCTCAGAGAGTCAATAATATCCATAGAAAAGTTTTCATCCCAGCCACAGTCCAAAAGAAAACGAAACTCATCTACTTGCAAAAGATAGCAGAGGGCAGATTCCTCCTGCACCCCCGAGAGGGTAGTCAACTTGATAATCGATGTCATTTTCCTCTCCAACTGTTTAATCTCCAAAATGACTTATCTGAATGGAGGACAAAATGTTTCGTTGACTGACACAAAGAAAAATTCCATTTACTTAGATCTAGCTTCACATATTCCTCAAAATATGCAGGCTAACGGTGTTAATACTGTTCAACACAGCTGCTCGATACCAGTTAGGTCTCAGATATTAACATTCTACTCTTGCAGGTCTTATTAGAAAGAGTTGGAGTTAATTTTCTACAATATATATTAAGGATAATTCGAAAAATGATCCCTAGGAGCAGCGCAGTTAGCAGCAGCTCCACGGAGCTGGATGGGGGCACCCAGAGATGGCACATCCAGGGCCGCGGCCCCTCAGAGCCAGGCCCTGCCCAAGCAGGGACCCAGCGCGGGCCGGGCCGGGGGCTCCGGGACTCCAGAGCCCGCCGGGCCCCGGCGCCCGGGCTGCGCTCGGGCCTGGCCTCTCGCCGGGCGGGGACGGGGTGATGGGGACGAGCCCTGCGCCCACTCCAGTCCGAGCCGCGGAGAACGAGGGGCAGAGGAGGACGGTGAAAGAGCCGATACCTGCCGCCCTCAACCACCCCCAGCCCGCGCCGCGCTCGCCGCCATCTTGCGGGCGGCGGGGAGGCGGAGCAGCCGGCGGAAGGGCAGCGGGCGGCACCACCGCCAGCCCGCCGGGGGGAGCGCGCTCCTCCCCCGCCCCTGCGCAGCCCGTGGTCTCGCCCGGCCCGCCGTTCCCGGTGCCCTTGGCTCGGCCGCTGCGGCTCCCGGTGCTGAGCAGCGGTAATGGCGGGGTCGCGGCGGGGCGGGAGCGGCGCTGGGGGCAGGAGTGCTGACGGAGGTCCCTGGCAGCGCCTCGCTCCGTCCCCTACCCCTTCGCCCGGGACACGGCGGGCGGGAGAGCCCCTTAGCCGTAGGGCTTCATGGCGCTGTTGCCCCTGGAGGGGCGGTCGGGGTCCCGGGCAGGCCGGGGGCGGCTCGGCCGTGTCGCGATGGGGCCGTGTCGCGAGTCAGCGGCCGGGGCCGGGCCGGGGGGTCCCGCCGGGGGTGCGTGCGGGGTCGCCCCACAGCGGCCGCGGCGGAACGGCGGCGGTGCTCGCCCTCGGGGCCCGGCCGGGGCTCCGGGCCCGCCGCTGGGGGTGACCGACTGCGCTGGGATCGCGTGTAATTCCCTGGTCTGGAAGGGTTTGGTTGGGTCGGAAAGGTTTGCTGGGCCTCGTTAGTCTGGAGAAGAGAAGACTGCGAGGAGATTTTATTAATGTCTGTAAATATCTCAGAGGCGGGTGCCAAACTCTTTTCATTGGTGCCCAGCAACGCGGCAAGGAGCAATGGCCATAAACTAAAACACAAGAAGTTCTGCCTCAAGACGAGGATGAACTTCTATAATTTGAGGGTGACAGAGCGCTGGAACAGCTGCCCAGAGAGGTCATGGAGTCTCATTCTCCTTTCTCATTAAAAAACCGCCTGGATGTGTTCCTGTGTCATCCATCTGCTGCAGGTGATCCTGCCTTGGCAGAGAGGTTTGACTGGATGATCTCCAGAGATCCATTCCAGCTGTAATAATTCTGGCATTCTGTGATTTTAGAAATGTTCTTCCTTATATCAGAAATGCCCTTTCATTTCTGTCAGCTCCCCACTGCATACACAACTTGTCTTTGAGACTTGACACAGAAAATAAAGTGTCCTTCTACAGGAGTTTAGATTATGAAAGTGTCTAATGTTTTACAGAGCAGCGAACTTCTGTAGGGTTGCTTTAATGAGTAAATTAAAGAGATGTTCTATTTCTCTCCTGTTTTAGGATGAAATGCTTTTTTTCCCAGGCTCAACAGTTAGGATTATTTCTAAGAAACCCAGTATGGGTTTGAGAACAGTATGTGTCTCCTAGGAACTTTTTGATAGCCCTCATGTGTATTATGTCATTGTAGAATCCTAATAAGTGAGAGTAAAGGTGCCAAGCATGCAGCAGTTTCCAAGTGCAGATTTATTAGCACCTCTTACCTGTTCCACTTTTCTTTCCAGCAGTCATGGTGAATTTCGCCCAAGCTGTGCGTGAACACTGGGTTCACATCCTTGTTCCCTTAGGATTTGTGATTGGATGCTATTTGGACAGATGGAATGATGAAAGATTGTCTGCCTTCAGAAACAAGAGCTGCTTGTATAAAAGGTCTGCTTTATGATGCTTCTTATGTTCATATATACTTATTTTTCAAAGTGCTTCTCAGTTCTTTTTTAGTTATGAGTGTAACCAAAAAAAGGGAAGAAAGGCCTAAAAATATCAAGCATTCATGAAGTGTTTTAGGTCAGTAATACCTTCTGAAAATGGAATCTTTAGGAGCTACCTTCATGAAAGAAAGGATCATTAAGTGCTGTTAATGACTGTAAAGTTCTTGGTCATGAGATATGGAAACCATGATTTTGACTTTATAACTTCCTTCAGCAAGAAACACAGTGCTTGAGTTTTAATTTTCTCTCTTAAATTTAAAATTATCACAGCACTTTTCAACCAAATACTTTTATAATAGTGTGTTACTTCAAAATAATCTCAAAGTTCTTGAAAATTAACATACATGCTGCTATATCTTCCCTGAATTATGTGATTTTATGCACTGATCAGTTTGGGTTTTCTGGCTGTGACTCCTCAGGGAGCATTTCCATCAGAAAACTTGAGACACTGACTCATCTGTGTCAGTTTAATTCTGTATTAGATCATCAGGTAACAAAAGAAGAGGGGAGAAAAGTCATATTGCATGAACTGATAGTAGAAGTGCTATCAGTTTGTGTGCCAGTGGATTTTTTTTCCAACTCTGGCCTCACCTAAATTAATTTTGAGTAAGAAAGAAAGCTTTTGACATAATCTACCCCCCTGGTACATTAGCACTTTTCTTAATGTATTTGTTAGTGAAGTTGGGCTGCTGTGTCAGCGTCTTGTAAAAATCCCTTCTTCTTTCACACCTCTCTTTCCCCTAAAGTAATAAATAATTATATTTCAAAGAAGTAGTATTTTTCATTTTGGATCCAATTAAAAGTCTCTTAACTCCTTAGAAGTCAGGTGTTCTGTGCTTCCAATTAAATGAATGGAAATCAGAGGACTCAATGCATTGAAGCTTTTGAAGAAAGGAGGAAGTTTATCAGTATGGAAAGATTTTTAATTGATAGCAATTGCAAGGAAAGTTAAATTTTTACATAAATCTCAAAATGAAGGTATTGTTGAATATAAAGTAACACAAATAAGCACTTACATTTATTAATAATTATTCTAAAAAGAAAGATACTAATTTTAGTCTCTCCTCTTTTTCTACACAGGGAGTTGAAGCCTGGTGAAGAGGTAACATGGCGATAAAAGCTGATGATGAAAAGGAAAACATTTTTGTTTGATTCATCATCTTCCCTCACATATTGAAAGAACAGGAATATGGTTTTTACCCTGAGAGGATACTACAGTAAAGGACATCTGCAATTCATCAGTGCTAGTTTAATTTCTGGTGTTACTTTTTGAAGTTGATTTAATTACATAATTAATATGTGTTCAGGAATTCCATTGGCCCACAAGTGTTGAAAAAATTTTCTTCCCTACTCTGGAAAGGAGAGGAAGAACTATAGAATAAACTATGCAAAAATCATTTATGTTCAATGTGGTGGTGTTCACAGGGGTCCCAGGACAAGGGAAGAGATGAGAATCTTGACTCCCTGTTTCAGAAGGCTAATTTATTTTTTGGTGATATATATTATATTAAAAGAAAATTATATATTAAAACTTACTAAAAGAAGAAAAGATTTCATCAGAAGGCTTGAAAGGAATAGAAAGGAATGAATAATAAAATCTTGTGGCTGACCAGAGAGTCCAAGACATCTGGACTGTGATTGGCCATTAATTAAAAACAACCACATGGGAACAATTAAAGATGCGCCTCTTGCATTCCACAGCAGCAGATAATTATTGGTTTTCTTCTCCTCTGAGGCTTCTCAGGAGAAAAATCCCGGCAAAGGGATTTTTCAGAAAATATCATGGTGACGGTTGTTACTGTTGTGTGGGGTGTGGAATGCATGTGTTTCTAGCTATTTCATGAACTAGCCTAATCCCAGAATGTGCTTGACAGCTACCGAACATGGTTACGTTTCTTTCTGGGTTTCCTCTGTAGGCTTGTTTGGAGTAGTGGTAAGCAGTTACTGCAGCTTTGTGAGCAGACCAGGAGGGTGTAAGGGGCTGGTGAGCAGGAGGAGCGGTGCCGGGCGCTGCTCCGCTCGGTGCGGGGAGGAGCGGCACCGGGGCCAGAGCCGGGATGAGCAGTACCGGGCCGGTGCGGGGAGGAGCGGCGCGGGGCCGGTGCCGGGAGGAGCAGTACCGGGCCGGTGCGGAGAGGAGCGGCGCGGGGCCGGGGCCGGGATGAGCGAAGCGGCAGCGGGGCCTGTACGGGGCTCTTCGGCGGAGGAGCGGGCTGGCGGCGCGTGTCGCTGCCGCGCGGGAGCGCTGGCGGGCAGCAGCGGCGGCTCAGCCCGCCGGCCTCCTCCCCGGCAGGGGGCGCCAGCGCGGCGGCCGGGCCGGGCCGGGCGCAGCCAGCGAGGCCTGCCCTGCGCGGCCGGGGGGCGGTGGGCGCTGCGATTGGCCGGGCGGGTCACGTGCTGTGGGGGCTGCGGCCGCCACAGTAAACATGGAGTCGATCTTCCACGAGCGGGTGAGTGAGGCAGAGAGTGCGGGGGGACCGGGCGGGTCCCGCTGCCCGCCCGCCTTGGCTGTAGCGCCGTCGGTTGTGGCCGTCCGGGCCGCCGAGACGGGGGAGGCGCGCGAGCTCTCTTTGAGAAGCTGCTGGGGCGGTGCCCGGGCCTCCCGTCCCTGCGCTGAGCGCGGAGCTGGCTCCGGAGCCCCCGGGGTGCGCTCGGCCGGTGTCGGGCCGGGACGCGCTGTCCCTCCCTGGCATCTCGAACCTTCGGCAGTGGCTTGTTCTCTGCCCCGGGGGAGAGCCGAGGCCCTCGCTCCCCGGTGCCTGTGCCTATGGCCCGTCCCGGCTGGGCGCTGCCAGCCCTGCAGGGAAAGGAGAGCTCGGGCGTCCGCTTTAGCACGGGGTCTGTGTTCTGGGGAGTGCAGAAACAGCCCCAGGTGTGCGGAGGTGTAGGCCGCAGTTCGCATGGCAGAGAAATGGGTCCGAGGATGAGCAGGGGCGGGCAGGGCTGCCCCTGTGCTCTCAGAGCCGTCTCGTCACCCAGCCTGGCTTGGCTGTGCCTGTGTAATGAGCAGGGAGGGGCAGAGCCGCTGGAGAAATCACAGTTTGTATAGTGTGCTTCTGTGTGCCTCCTGTTTTGGAGAACAAATGCTGCTGTGAAATGCTGTGATTTATCCAGCTTCGCAAATATGACCTATTTCTGTTCTAATGCTGTTCAAATTGTAATTGGATTTGTTCTTGCACTTTGCCTGTGTCTCTTCAACTTTGTTGTGTTAATCTTTCTACTAGTTCTGTTACTTTGTTTTGTTATGTGGGATTGGTTTCCTTAAGAAGTCAAGTAAAATAACTGTGTACCTTCCTTTACAAAATTGTTGTTCTGAAATCCATAAAACCTGGGGAGTAGGTTTGGGTTTCAAAATTTGGCAAGTGTTGTGATGTTAAGTAGCCGCTGTTCAGAGGGTGAGTGTTTGATTTCAGCCGTGATGGCCTCTGCTTCAGTGACCTTCAGTGTGGCTTTGAAACCAGTTTAACAAAATGTACTCTTTTCTTACATGGCCTGGCTTATCACAGTACGAATTAACTTTTTATTGCTAAAAAGTTTCCTTTTAGAGAAACTACTATGTAAGCATGTAATACAACTAATTTTCAGTGGTATTTTACTGTCTCTCTGTTTCTAAACCAGTTTCATATAATTCTGGTGGGGAAGCCTGTGATTGTTGAGCAGGTTCTTCTGTCACAGTTTTGTCCAGCAAGTAGGGATGTGCTCCCAGAGGACAGAAGCTGCTGTTTGCTCATGAGTTCCTTGCTGCAGGGAGGGCATGAGCTGGAGGAGGCTTCCAGACTGCACTGAAGCCTGGCCGGACAGCCAGCCTAGCTTTGGTAACTCATTGCTCAACAGAGTGGTGAAGCCATAGGAAGGTTCTGGAGTAAAGGGAACTTTCGAGGTTTCAGCTGTAAGGGAGATCATGGGAGAGTTCTGCATATGATTTGTTTGATGCTTTTATGGAATTCTAAACAATATTCTTCAAAGGCGTATTTTTGTATTCTTAGTTTCTGTGGGTGTGGTTTGAGGGAGGCGTGTTCTGTTTTGTTTTTAACGAAGAGCATGTGCAGGAGAGTTCTTAATGTAAATAAAATGAAGACTGATTAAAACAGAGAAAAACAGCTTTTTAAAACTGATGTTACTTGTCTTGCACATGGAGTTACTTTTATTTGTAGAAAAAGGTTGCTTTTCATGGGAAGCTGCTTTGGTTGGTTTACGTTGTGGTTTTTTTAACGAGGTAGTATTTTAACTCATATGTGAAAATGATGGAGCCTACGCATTCATTCAGATCAGAGATTTTTTAAAATTTTTACTACAAAATCATGGCTGACATTGTTAATTATGTCTTTTAAAATTTGTGCTGACATTTTAAAAATCTTACCGTTTTTAAAATCTTACAGTTTTTAAAAATCTTATAGTTCTGTTACCTGTAACGTGCTGGATATGTAACAAAGTATCTGAAATGGTTTTTTATTTGAATCAATATCAATTGGTCTATCAATAAAAAAAATTCATTGTTTAATATGCTGAATTTAATATTTTGTTTCCCCAAAATTCTTTTCAAGATTTTCAAACTAGTGGTATGACCTTAATTTATCTACTTCCTATATGTAAATTTCAAGTGGAAAAGGAGCTTTATTGTTACTCCAGCACCTAATCACTTTCTCAGCAATAACGTGGAGGGCAGATTGTCAATAGCCACCCCTGGAAGAGAACAATAGTTAAAAAATATTGAGAGTGTCTGTTATAGCAAATGTTTGTTCTAGGAAGTAGAGATCTAAACTGTTTGATTTTCATGTATTGATGTTTAAGAAGAAGATGGAATCCATTGTTCTGATGGTTGTAGAGTCTCTGTGATTTGTTGGGTCATTAGCAATATTAATGGTGTTTTCAAAAACAATTTTTACATGAAATTTATTTCCCTTAAAGAAATAAGGTAGTATGGATGTTGGCTTTTCTCCCATGAAGCTGATGGGAAGATTGTATTCTATAGCTTGCAGTGTAATACATTAAAAGAATGTATGGTGTTCTGCAGGAGTGGGGAGGGCAGAAGTTTGCCAGAGTGAAACAGATGAGTCTTTTTACAGAGTTTGCATCAACCTGGGGTGATTTTTTTTCTTTTTCTATTGTTTTTTTTTCTCTTCCATCATTAGCAAGAAGGCTCATTGTGTGCTCAGCATTGTCTGAATAATTTGCTGCAAGGTGAATACTTTAGTCCTGTTGAGTTATCCTCTATTGCACAGCAATTGGATGAGGAAGAAAGGATGAGAATGGCAGAGGGAGGAGTATCTAGTGAAGAATACAGAACATTTTTACAGGTAAAATTGTGTTCTTTTTAGGTTGCTTGATATTGCCTGAAATGAAATATTGTCTGGCACAGACCTATTCTTGCATAGCTAGACAAGGTTAATTTTCTAGTGCTAAAGCTTTTTAAATTTATAGGCATCTTAGATATGTCATTTTCAAATGTTACTAGTACAGCTTTACACTAATTCTACAAAAAGCTACATTACCTTCATCTTACAAGTAGGAAGATCAGGCATGATGAGGAGGATCAGTAATTTGCCTTTTGTTTTTGTAAGCCAGTGTCAGATAGGAACAGAAATTCCCATGTCTATCTGCCCTTTAAGCACTGAACATCTCTAAAGGTTTGAGTTTTAAATTAAAATGCCTATTTGGGGCATTGTAATCAGCCTTACAGACAAGGACACAAATCATTGCTTTAAGAATCTGCAGTTACATTTATTTTCACAGCTCAATTATTTTTGACCTTTTATGCTTATACCATTTTTCCCCTTTCTCCCTTCCAACTTCACATCGAGCAGCAGCCTTCTGTAAATATGGATGATAGTGGATTCTTCTCAATTCAAGTAAGCACAGCTCTCTTCTGACACCATTTTCTGTTTATGCAATATATGTTCTTTTATGTAATTTAAATGGCATTGACATTTCCATCTAGTTACCACTTTATGGCCTTAATGGGATTAAGTGCTGGAGTTCCAAATGTTCAGAGTGTTTTCCTTTAAGAACAGTGACTTGCAGTTCTTCAGTTCATGGGCCTCAAATCCATGGGAGAAACATGGATTCAGGAGCTGTGAAATGGCACCTGCTGGCAATAAGCTTGAGTTCTAAGCTGTTTCTTGTGGGCACTTCAGGTGTAGACCTTGGCTCCCAGGTGAAAAAGCATAATTCAGATTGCTTTCTCAAATTATAGATTGGAAAGCCCTTGGCAATGGTTACAGGGTTATCACAGTGATCTGAAGATTTTTCTTGGGTGTTTTTGGGTTTTTTAAGGCCATAGGGGAAGAGTAATTAATAATAAATACTTAAACCAGACCAACAGCAAAAAAAGTTTTGAACACCAAATTGGGGGTTTTGTCTAGATTAGAGCTCTAGGCATCTTTGGCTGTCTCCCAAGCTTTCAGTGGTACTTGTCAATGCTCCAGACTCCCTCAAGAGCTTCACTTCCTTACAGCCAAATGGGCTGGTTTTCTTTTTAACAAGAAACCATTAACAGTTTGGCTTTCCTGCTGTCTTTGGGCTGCTTCAGTAGCTGAAAAAAATGCTTCCTTGTTCTACTTTTTTGTCCTGTCATTGCTTTGTCATTTGAGGCACAGTTGGCTTGCTGAAAGGAATTAAAATTGTTAACTTAAAAGTTCTTACAGCCTTATATCTTGTAGCTTTAAAGAGTTACTGTGAAAGAGTTGGTGCTCAGATCAATAAACTGACTGATCCTGTGATAATCCAGTGGTACAAAATTCCCAACAGTTACCGTGAAGAAAGATTGAGATTGTATTGGGGTAAGGGCAGAGCAGTGCATTGCAAGTAGAGAGATGACAACTACCAAAGTGTCTGTGGAAGGAGGAATGGCAGCTTTGTTTGGAGGAGTATGCTCATTAACCAGCTGAATTAAATCCTAGTTTTGTTACTTCTCCTTAGATAAGATGTGAGTGTTATGCTTGCACGGGGATTCATGACAGTTGCATTTTGAGTAATGTGATTCCTAGGTTTCCTGGCAATGTTTGAAATTAATTTTTATGAAAACAGTATAATTGTTTAGCACAGCTAAGATGCTTGCATTGCTTGAATTTAGATTTGAACTAGTCTGACTCATGAAAAGTGTTCTTTTTTGACAGGTTATAAGCAATGCCTTGAAAGTGTGGGGTTTAGAACTAATCCTCTTCAACAGCCCAGAGTACCAGAGACTTGGGATTGATCCTATGTAAGACTCCCTTAGCACCTTGCTTTTATTTTACTGTACAAATACTTTTTGTATTTTATATTTTAAGTCTTTCTTTTAAATGGCTGTTTTATGCTCTGTTGCATTTTGATGTTTGTATTGCCCCTGGCTTTGATTCTTTTTCCTTTTTTTTTTCTTTTTGGGGGTGCATGAGAACATCTGTCCTCTGTGCCTTCATGGTATTTTAGTTTCTGTGGCATCACAGATATATGGAGATTTCAGTGATATTGGCAACTTCCTGAATGTTATAAAAGCAGTATGAGTATTCTGTAATGTAGCATCAATAGCTGTATTACTGAAACTTCAATATAATAAAGTTCGAATTAGTGATAGCAAAGATCTTAAACATTATTATGTACTCTGATTTTAGAGTATTTAATTTTATTTATATCTTTTGTTTTTCTTTTTACAGAAATGAAAAATCATTTATTTGTAATTATAAGGAACACTGGTTTACAGTTCGAAAGTTAGGAAAACAGGTGACACTGTCTTTTTTTATTTTAAAATTAACTTCAGAAATGGGTGTGGAGAAGTGGTTGCAAGTAGTTTGTCCTTCCCTTTTGCAAGCTTTTGCTGCAGTTTGGTTTAATAGTATCCCATATTTTAAAAAAAGGTAAATGTTTGTTTTATCACAAAAATGCCAGGCAGGTCATTGTAAATATTAGCCTGGGAAAAGACTGTAGGATCAATTCCCTAGTGAATGTCCAGTGGGGAGCTACAGGTCTGCTAGGGTCTTAGGTGACTTCTTAAGCTATTTTCTTTTTTTTTTGTCTGCATGAAATACTGAAGAAAACTTATACTGGGGGTTCAGGGGGAGTAGGGAATCCTGAACAAAGATTAGGATCCCTACAGAATTCAAATTTATTTTAATACAGTAAGATAGTGGCACTGTAAAATAATTTTGTATTTAAATGGGCAGTAAATATAAGAAAACATTCAAGTTTTTGATGGATAATAATGCATACTTAAAAGTACATATAAAAGCTTATGAGCTTTTATACAACATGAGCAGATTTGGTGTTTGGTTTTTTTCAGAGAAAACATTCATGGGAAACAGGTTTAAGAGTCTGTAATAGTGGGACAGGAATGTGCCCATTTGGTTCCTTTTTCCAAGTTCTGTCTACTTATGTTGTCATCCAGATTTAAAAAATAAAGAACAATCACTTGTTAGTGAGAAAACTAAACTCGACTGTTTGGCTTTAGTTTAAAAGTATGGCTAATGTTTACAGGCATTTTTTGTTTATTTGATATCAAAAAGGTTGTCTTTAAATTATGCTTATTAAGCAATGCAACCATGATGGGTGGAATTTTATGAGGGCATTCTAACCCAAGACATCCTAAGCTGGAGAGGGAATGCTTTTTTCCTCTTTTACCTGTGGCTTGAAACCACATGAAGACAGTACTAGGTGTCTGTTATCTAGAGAGTAATGAGGAAATTTGCCAAAATAGGTTGCTTTTCTTCTGTTACAGTTAAAGCAAAATTAGTTTAACAAAATTTTCTCCTCCATAATGTCTTTTAAAAAGTTGCTATAGTCAGTCCATCAAATTTTTTACAGAATTTTTTATTCCCCTGCTCTTCTACACTGTTGGTTTTTTACCCTTTGCTAGTGGCAAGGAGTGTTTTTGGCAAATAAAAGTGATTGCATGACAGGGTGGTAGATAGTCACTTATATTGTTGTATGGGCCTGGCTGCAGGTGTGTGGATGCATATATGAAAGTTTGGGTAGATCAGTGCATTTCTGTGAGAATGGAGATAAAATTCTCCTTCCACTAAGTCAAATGGTGCTTTCTGGTTAAAACTGTCTAATACTGAATGAGTAGGTCTAAAAAAAGTTCTTTAGCTACATTGGAATTATATATGGAGGCCTAAAGGTAGAGTATTTTGTTACACATTGAATAAATTTTTTCTCTAGAAGTTTGATGTAAGTTTTATGTAAGTAAGTAATACTGTTTCTGTTTAGAAGTATTATAAATTACTAGTTATGGTCTTTGGGTAACTAGAAATGAGTTGTGTATGTTTATGTGAAGGTGTTCCCTGTTGTAATACAGTGCTGTACTCTCAGCATACTAAATTTGAGTAATTTTTTTGTTAATTTAAGTTTAAAAATTATCCGAGAGAAGGGTAAACACTACTTTTCAGCATCACTAGCTATTAAAGGTGGAATGTTCCATGAAAGTATTTAATTGAAATAATTGAATGTCTGTTTTCTGTATCTATTTCTTAACACATAGCATTAATTGATGATGGGTTTCTTACTGCATTAGTCTCAGGTTTAAAACTAGGATTAAGCAGAATTTTAGAATGATGTCTGAAATAAATCAAAATACAGTGGTTAAAGATTACCTGGTTTAATGTGTTTCCCTGGTACCAGTATTCAATAATGTGAGAGAGCATGCAGTAATTTCCACACTTCAGATGTCCTGTTAGAGTATTTGAAGGACAGTGTTTAGCAGTAAAGGTATTATGCTTCAAAACCCTTTAATTTGATAATTTATTTTACTATATTTATTTGGATATTCCATAATAAAAAATTACCATAATGTACAGGAATGGATTACCAAGGAATCTTCATGCTAATTTGTTCTCTCAACCTTTTTTTTTCTTAATTACAGTGGTTTAACTTGAACTCTCTCTTGATGGGTCCAGAACTAATATCAGATACATATCTTGCACTTTTCTTGGCTCAATTACAACAGGAAGGTAATAGTAACTTGCAGATGTTAAATCTCATTAATTAAAAGTAGGTAATAATCATTATTTCTTAGAGCTTACGTATTCAGTTAACTACCCTTAGTTTTATGATTGAAATAGTGAAATAACCCAAGTCCTTATAATAAAAGGTAGAGTCTTACATCTTAAATTGCACATGATTGTATTCCATATAGTGTGCATTTTAGAGTGCTTGTATGTGAACTTTAATGCTGTGGACTTACAATTTCTTTTTCTCAGGTTATTCCATATTTGTAGTAAAAGGTGACCTGCCAGACTGTGAGGCTGATCAGCTGCTGCAGATGATTCGGGTACAGCAGATGCAGCGACCAAAACTGATTGGAGAAGAGGCAGCACAGTCAAGAGATCAGAGGTAAGGTAAATAAAGATTTTATTTTAATCATCTTCAGTGTGATTGGTTTGTAATTTGGAAGTAACAAGAAGTACCTTTAGTTCAATGTGCAGTGCTGTTGCACACATGAAAAGCAATTTGATGGGCAGCAAATGGTGTATTTTTAAGTGGGCAAAAGCTGGCTTGATGGGAATTGAGTCTTTCCATGTGCATAAGCATATCATAGTGCAGATTTTTGACTTAGGGAGGAAAATGGTGTAGCAAATCTTATAAACTATGGTTAATAGTGATTCTTTTATAATTAAGACTGGTTTGTGCATTCTGTCATAAGTAGAAAAGAATGAGAAACTGGTATTTGAATTCCACATCATATAAATCATGCAGCATTCCCTTTTGGAATAATTTTGCTGTAACGTTGTGGTGCTGCTCATTTTTGATGCATTCTGCTAATATAAAACATCCTTTAAAGCACATAAAATTAGTACTTGATGCACTTCTGCAATGATTTCACTGAATTTTCATAGTGAACAAATTGCATACTGATAAAAAGGCTTTAGGCTTCTCAGAGGAATTAATTACTTTTTTCCCCTTTGTAAAGTTAAACTACTGTTGTAAATTGATGGAATAATTAGCAGTAACATGGAAAGTGTGTACAGTTTACATGGGTTCTGTTGCTTTAGTGTGGCCTTCAAGGCCTCCTGAGAAGGAGACCGTATGCACTCTTTTCTGCTGGTGTAACTTTTTAAATAGCAGTAGGTTTGAATAACATGTATCATGGCTTTTTGTGGGCTTATCATTTTTGACACTTTACTATCTAACAGCTTCTTGTCAATGTCCATTGCTTTACGGGTCAGTGTGTGGCAAATATATGTTAAGGTTGCCCTGCAGTTGCTTGCAGCCCTTTGGTGCTTTTTCATTTCTCAGGAAAATAATTGTTCATGTAACAGACTTTCACAAGAAAAATGTTTTTCCCAAAGTTAAACCTAGAGTTAAATTGGCAGAATGTACTAATTTAAACCTCATGACAAAATGTAATATAATTTCTGTCTGAATTTTGCTATGAATGTATGAATTTCACAGGCTATCCCGAGGTGATGTGGACCAAGCAATAGAAGTTAACCATCCCTTTGATGGAACAGGCATGTTAGACGAAGATGAAGAGAATTTTCAGAGAGCCCTGGCTCTAAGCAGGCAGGAAATTGATATGGAGGATGAAGAGGCTGATCTTCGCAGAGCCATCCAGCTCAGCATGCAAGGTGCAGTGCTCATCTCAATTTCTTACAGTGCTTTAAGCAGCTCCTGGAGTCAGTTTGTCAGGCAGTTTTTCCAGCATGTGTCACCATCTCTGGAAAGACTGGTTTGAGGCATGGAAGGACAATCCAGGATTGCATGTAACTATCTCCCTCCTGCTTTTTAAAAAGTTGTAACTTGGATGTTGTCATTGATTATTAGGAAGGAAGAACAAATTGGCAAAGGATAGGAGGAAAGGGAAACAGTCCTAAGGTGAGGAGAAGAGAAATTATCAAGCAAAGTTCTTCTAGGTGCTTAGATCTCACAAAAGTCTTTCTTCTTCTCAAGTTTGAGGATGTTTTTTAAGTTATATTTTATTTACTAACTTCATTTTACTATAATTAGTAGGATCTGGCATGTTCTGCTTTCAGGCAGCCGTCGAAGTGAGCTCTCAGGCTCATCACCACAGAATGTGCCTCAGCCGTCTCACAGCAGTCAGACAGAGTCCCTTTCCTCAGAAGAGCTGCGAAGGAGAAGACAAGCATATTTTGAAAAGTAAACTAGCTGATAGAAAACTGCATGTGGAAGTACATGTATTTTTCAGTGCTTTTGGGGTGTGGATGTGTTTCTTACTGAGGTCCAGCTCAAATTTTCTGTCTTAATATGATTTCCTAACAGTACCTGTATTTTACTATTCTCAGGTGGTTCCTACTCAGAAACCTTTAGTAAGAGTGTTTGTTAATAATGCAGTAGTCTTGTTATTACTGCAAGTCTTGTGAAGAAAGAAAAGAAAACATTATAGGAGTATTTTAAATGAAATCCTGTACATTTCTGCAACTACCTTCTCAACAAAAAGTATTATTTCTCTAAGATTCTGCTTTGGGTAATGATGCTTCTCATGTGCATCACATAAAAACATTGTACATATTTTATGTTACTGTTCTGGTGTATCTTCTTAATAGATAGTTGAGCTATTGTAGCTTTTCCTTATCTGTGTCTTACAGTAATAGAGGAAATAAAGACCAGGGAGAAATGCTATGGATGGGAGGAGTTAGACTGCACATGGTAGGATAAGAATGCAGAGCTACCAGATCCTGGGAAAATAGTCTTGTGGCTTGGAATATAACACTGGGAAGATTATATCTGAAGGTTAACAGGGTGAAATGATGAAAGAGATTTTGGGCACAGGGGTGTTATTGTACCAAACAGCTTCTACTTCTGACTTGACTCACATCTCATACTGATGTTAATCTTATTCTCTTACAAATTTATGACACTTTCAGACAGCAACAACAGCTACAGCAGCAAAATCAGACTCCAAACCTACAGGACAAAGCAGCTCCTAGTTCAAGCACTCCAGAATCTGGCCCAGGTATTGTTTTTTAACCTTTGATTCAACACTGAAATGTGTCTTCTTCATCTTTGTGTTGTTTGTTAATTTTCCTTCCTTGCCTGCTTTGCACTTGAGCAGCCATTCGGATTGTGTGTTACAGCCATTACTGTATTGGCAGTGAAGGAAAGTATCACTTTCCTGAAAAGCCTGTTTCCATTTGAATGTCAATATCCCATTTCAAATGTAGACCATTGCTATTACCCTGTTTGTTTTCTAAATTAATTTTAAAGTTACGTAACAACTTGCAATAGTATCTGACAAAATTACTGGAACCAGTTTAGAGAAGACCATGTGTAGACCTTACCAGTGGCAGGTATTGGTGATCCAAAACTGGTGTATATTGTTACAAACTGACTTTTGGTGAAAAACTGTTTGCAAAATGTTCAGTGACTTTGAAAACAAAACTAGTTTTGTCAGTGGGGTAGGAAAAGGTGGGTGTGGACGAAAACAACAAAAGCATTTAACTATAATTAAGAACTGTGAATTTATTACAGCTTGTATGCATGTATTGTCTTTAGGAGGAGATATGAGTGAAGAAGACATGCTTCAAGCAGCCATGAATATGTCTCTGGAGTCTGTCAGAAACCACTTGAATTCAGAAGAGGAGAAATAACCTCATTTTTTCCCTCTTATTGTCAAAACGCTAAGTCTCCATTAAAATTCTACTGTGTGGATGTTGCACAAGCAGGGTTCATTTCAGAGTTCTGGAAGCAGGAATGAAAGGGGGGCTGCTGGAGGTCAGTTTAGAAAGGATCTGCAAATACAAAAAGGATTGCACTAATTTAGAGAACTGTAGCACTCCTACAGAACATCTGCTCACAAGAGTAGTGGTGTTAAAATTACTGGAACCATTCACACAAAGTTAGACAAGGGTAGCAGCTGTAACTTCAAAAAGTAAAGCTTTTAAAGCTTGCATTAAAAAAGCAAGTTTAAATTGTTTTGAAGAATTCTGTAGAAGATACAAATGGTGCTGAAAACAGCATCAAATTATTTTCTTCAGTACTAATGGAAAAACAGATCCAAGTAATAAGTTATGCTCATAAATTATTTTTAATAGATCACTCTAAAATGGAGAGAGTAATTAAATTCCAGTTATCTTAAATAATTTATTTTGTGATTGTTTATTATGAACGACTTAACGTCAACTTTTTGATCCTGCTGTCCACTTTTGAAATGATCCATTCTGCAGGAGAAACAAGAACCCATAAATTTCATACTTTTCAATTCAAGACAAAATTGTATTGTTGGCTATAATGTTACTCCTGAGTCTTCAGTGATTTCTGACTTTGTAACAATTTTTGGTTTTACTGTCAATTCCAATTGTAAATTTTAGATCTGTGTTTAACATACTGTCTTTTAGCAGATAACTTGCCTTATTTGGCTTGGGGTTTTGTTGTTCTTGTTTCTTTTTAATTATTGTTTTCTTATGTTCTTTCTTGTTAAAGCCACTTTCTTTTTACTTCAAAAGCAGCATGTACTCAATTTGGTTTAGCAGGTTTTCTTTTCTACCTCTTCCAGAGAATTTTCCTCTTCAAGCTCAACCTTTTATTCTGGCCTTTCAGTATGAAAGAGCTGTAACTGAGTCTAGGAGAAAGTAGGAGGGGATTTAGGTGCCATAAAGTCAGTGCCACACACAAAGATGCACTCCTGCAATCTGAAATGACCCCTGTGCAAGTAGCTCTTTTAAGAATGAATATTTATGCCTGTGTGGATGTTCTTTCTGAAATGCTTTCCATGAGTGTCTGTCAGAATGTTGCAGTTTTTTCAGGAATGGCCTTTATTCACGCACCTTACAATTTTTTATTACGTTGTTTCTGATCCTGAGAAAAATTGGGAAGCAAAGTATGTGAGATGGCTTATGCTACTGGTTGTAAGACATTTGCTTTGATATCCAGGATGAATGTGTAACAGGGTGACCAAACCTGACCTTGAACTTCAGTGCAACAAAAGAGAGATGTTTCATTTTCCTAAATGGTGCTTGAAATACAAATTCTGTTTACATATAAATTATATGGAAATATGTTGTAGATAGAGTATATAAGCTGTAGTCCAGTTAAAGCATTAACAGTTAGCACAGGCATTCTAAGAATCTTTCAAAGATAACCCCAAATTTCTTTATCAAAAAATTCTCAAGTTACATCTTTGCACAATAGTAACACTTAATTAAAATTAGTAGGAAATGAATGGTAGCTAGATGGATATACACATTCAGCATCAAGTAGTACTGTACATGAAAGGGCTCTTACCTCTCAGTAAAGATTTGTTTACAGCAATGGTTTCCTGATAGCTTGGGATATTAATATAGTATGCATAGTTGAGCTAAATTCTGTTTTTCTTATCTATGTGCTGGATTTTCACCAATGTCACCAGAACCACTGGTATGTGTTACACAGTTTGGATTTTGACATGAGACAGCACTACTTTTTAAAAACTGATTTTTGTATTTTTAAAATAATCCTGTCATCCACATTACAATTATTTGTGATGTCTCAAATTAATATAGCTAAACAATTACTTTAAAAGTCCATGTATGCATATACCATTTTGAAATGCTGTATTTTTCAGGGTGTGATTTTTTGCTTTCAGTTTGAAATTTCTATGAAACTGAAAGCAAAAAAGGTGTCTAAAGCACTGATTTTTTTTTCTCATCTGTCAATTAACCACAGCTTAATTTTCCTTTCTTGGTTGTGCCATAAACTAATTCTGAAATAAGACTCATTTTTATAAATAGATGTAGATTGGCAAGCTGATGCCAGTATTTGGAACTCGAACCTTTTATTCTTTCTTATAAGAACATAATAAAAATATTATTTCTAGCTCTAGCAGCCCTATATTAAAAAACCCCAAAAACTCAGCCCCTTAAATCTCACTGACTGTAACCCAGACCAACTGCATGATTTTATAATCACTAAAACATGGAGGTTTGCCTTTGAACTTTCATGTCAAATCATAAGTCACTTCATCACCCCAGTATTTTAATATGGAAGAAATATAAAATGTCCCTGTCTGAAAGGCAGAGCTGAGTCAGTGATCACAGGGACAACTATTTTCCTTTCTATGGAGAAATGCTGTCAGTCAGCAAATACCAGTTTGATTTTTAGAGAAATGTCAAGTTGAATGATGTAGGCATATCAATTAGACAAGCGGTTACCAGAGAGCAATTTAAGCTACGTCTGTTAATTCATGTAATTCTGTCACTGAAAAAGACCTAAAGCAGCCAGTCCACCACTAACTGTAATGTTCCCAAGCACCACAGCTGCACCTCTTCTAAATAGCTTCAGGGAGGGGGCTCAACCACTTGCCTGGGCAGCCTGTTCCAATGGTGGACAACCTTTTCAGGGAAGAAACACTTCCTGGTACCCAAACTGAACCTCCCCTGGTACAAACTGAGGCCATTTCCTCTCATCTTGTCACTTGTCACCTGGGAGATGAGGCTGACCCCCACCAAGCTACAACCTCCTTTCAGGGCTCGTAGGGAGTGACAGGGCCTCTGTTTGAACTGTACCCAAGGAAAAAACTCATACTAATTGCTGACAGTACATTTTTTATAACCCAGGTCTCAAGTTCAAAATGTCTGGGCCTGCCAAGAAGCTGTGAATAAACTGCTGTCATTTTTTGGTGTTCATTCTTTCAGTGATAAACAGTTATCAGTGTGACTTAACTATGCTTTTCATTTACTAATTTAGAGTGTACTTCTGGTGTTACCTACCCTGTCATGCTGAAGGGTTGGGTTTTTTCCCATGTTTTAGCTTTAGGCCAAAGTCCATTGTAAGGGAGCAGACATTGGTGGGTTGTTGTTTTTTTTTTTTTTAATTATAGAATTATATTTGATGGAATTTCAGGCTTCATTCATTCAACAGACTTTACCGTTTTCCAGTGAATGGTCCATGTGACATAAGTTATGGTTTTGTGCCAGTAAAAATAAAAGGGGCAGGAGTAATACAATAAATGTCTTCCATAATTGCTTCTGTGAGTATAATTCTACAAACTGCTTTCATGGTCTTACAGTGAAGGCAGGAGGAACAAGAGCTGTAATGCAGTCATGCTTGCATGCAGTTCTTGTTAGGCACAGCAAGTACAAATATGGGCTGTTTAAATGCTTACATTTTTCTAGACCTGAAACTAAGATATGATATGATATGATATGATGCTGGCTTACTTTAAGATTTGGGCTTCCTGTGTCCTTCAAAGAACTGAAGAAAATTTAAGTGTAGTTTTCAGCCAAGGTACTTTTCTCACTTGTCATACTTCATTACTTTGCAGACTACTTCAAAATAACCAATACAAACGTAAATCTATGATGTGTTTTAGTGTTGGACTACTGCTTCTGTTACAAACTTACAGAATGGGGGGGATTAAAATGGCTTCTGCAGGTGTCTAGTAGACAAATATCATTTGCAGGCTGGTTTGTCTTATTAGAAAACTGACTGGCTTAAAAATTAACATGTTACAGTTCTAAAATGTGACATTTTCTAGTATTAATTGGTTCAAACAATAATAAAAACATAAAAATGGTGGCCTTGTACAGAAAAATACAGTATAGGGGAATAGGATCAGAGAATTAGAATTCAGGCTTACAAAGTAGTATTCTGCAGTTCACGTTACCAGCACTTCACTTTTAAAGGAATTGAAATAAGAATCCAAGGAAGAGAATAACTGATGTGGAAACTTTTTAAGGGCTTAGGTAGAAAATTATGTTGTTTGCTTGGTAAGCCATTACTGTCTTGCATAGAACAAACTTAAGTCCTGGAAAATCTTGATAATTAATTTACAAGTCATTAAAAAAAAAAAAAGAAAATATGTCCAATATGTAATAAATACCTATTCCATATACACAATCACTTGGTCAAGTGAGAACAATACTTCATACATTCAAACTGCCTGGGTCCAAATTCTTCTTCAGTTTAGAATTGGTAGCTTTGTCTTGTGTCTAGGTTTTCATCTTAAAAGCATGAGCTCTTCTGCAATAAATTGTTTTAATCCTCATACACACATTTTGCCTTATTTGCATTTCAGAGATGGAGGGAATGCTGGAGTATTTAACCTGCCATAGTCACCTTCTTCCCCAATTACAGTTCTTCAGACAGTTAGTACATGTGACTTTTCAACTGCTTTCATCAAATCAAAATACTTATATATTATTTTCCTTGTTAAGAAAAATAATTATAACTACACTTTTCTTTTAATCTCCCCCCATCCTCAGTGCAGCCACTGTGTGAATTCAGGAGGGAACTTCAGGAGGGAAAAAAAGAGATGTAATACTTAAATGCCACTGTGCAAAAGCAAAATGAAAAAAAAAAAAGAAGATAAAAACCTTGATTTTGTCTTTAAAGCATGTAAGCTTTCATAAAATGTTACTTTTTGCTACATGAAACCCCCTGTGTACAAATCACTGTAGAGTTAGGATTTTGTAAGGGAATAATTTTTCATCTCTTAACCTAATAGTTGTGTATTTTAGAAATCATTTTCAGTAAGATTTTTTTTGTCAAGACTGTTTTCATATCACATCTCTGGCTCTGGATTCCTGTATAATTTTGCCTATTTTGTATATATAAAGCATAGAATACTGAAAAGATTTAAAAAGGGAAAGCTGAAATGCTTTGTCATTGTTTTGACTGGAAAATGGCAGCACTGTTCGATATTTTGAAAATGCTCTCCAAATAGGCATGAATATATATGGTTGTATTTGATATCACTTTTTTAAATAAATATGATTATAGCTTCTAATATTTCTCTCAAGTATTTCATATGTGCTTTCCCTTACGTGTGGATTGGACACAGAATCATCAAACATTGAACTCTCATCCCTGGTGTCAGTGGGCTTTGCACCAGAGGTGTTTACACAGAGCAGTGGGATCGTTTTCTGTTGCTGACATTTAATCAACTCTGAGTCTGCATCTGTTGGTACTCCAGAAGTTGGGTAAAGACACTCCTGTTAAGGAAGGAAGTTGGTGCCAATTGTAGTTATGTTACATCTTTTAAAATTGTATGCTTTCTAATTTTTAAAGCTACAGTTTCCTGCTTTGCTGCCAGAATACTCATTCTTTTTGTGACACAATGCATTGCTCTTGTAGCTTAGTCAAAACAGAGTATACTGGATGATTTCCCTTACTAACAGTGGATGAAGTCAGTCAGCTAAAAAAAATTACTTGCAATGCTAGATAGTTTCTAGTTTTGCAAGATTAGTAATTAAAACGAGCAGTACAAAAAGTCTTCTGTGCTACTTTACTGACTACATCCCTTACTTGGCATTATAAAATTTACCACCATAAAAGAGATTTTTATCATCCCTAAAGATTTAAATGTCTGCAGGACATCTGTGATCTTAGTTGAAAAAATGCTGAATTTCCCATAAAAACTCTTTGGCCACACTAAATGACACATCTTTACTGTCATGAGGACCCATATGGGCTTTGTTAAACCAATGATAAGGGGTCTTTTGAGTATTGTAACTTTTCATCTCCATTAAACCCAAAAGTGCAAATTAATAAAACTGATAAAGGTACATGCCTATATTTCATGCTATATCACAGCACTAGCACTTCCTACAATTCTGATGCTTTTTTTTTAAGCCAGAAACAGATTTGAAGTGGTGTATGATTGGTTTTACTGTGGATAATCATAAGGGGGACAAGTATGCCATTAGATTAATATACTGGTGAAATCAGTTATAAATCTGATAGAAAAACTGTTCCATGAAGAGGGACAAGTCTTTATTACAGAAGTTTTAACTTCTAAACTTTTGGAGCACTTACCATGCCCAGCCTTAGCAGCCTCTGTGAGTGGCAGAGGGCAGTAAAAGGTGATAGAGCATTGCAGGCCAGCCCTGAACCCTTCACCAAGCTCTGCAAAATCCTGTTTGGGGAGCAACAAGCAGGTTCTTCCATGTCTGCCTGGTAATGTTTGCCAGCTTGTAACTCCAGAGCCTGTGTTTTGTGCCTGCTGCATTCTCAGACTTCTAAAAAAGATTTCACCTGTGAAATGCTCTTCTCAGCTTCATTTGCTGTTGATGTGGTGCTTTAATCACACCTCTTTTTATGTAGTTATCAATTTGAAATGGGCAATGATCCAACTGCCCTGTATTCTATTTCCAGCATTATGTATTTGTATAAATACATATGTAAATATATAAATACATTTCCCTGTATTTATATCAGCATTTTTATAACTATCATTCTGATGGATACAAAACTGCTTTTTCTGTAACAGTGCAGTACTCTTTGTAGTCCAAGTTTAAATACTTCGCTTGATAAAAAAACAGAAAGAACTTTGAATTGGAGCAGTTTTGGGGTTCTGGCTGGAAATACAACCAAGAATCACAGGATGGGTCAGGTTAGAAGGGACCACAGTGGGTGATCTGCTCCAACCTCCCTACTCAAGCAGGGTCATCCTAGAGCACATGGCACCGAATTCAGATGAATCCCGAGTATCTCCAGGGAGGGAGCCTCCACAGCCGCTCTGGGCAACCTGTTCCAGTGAGCGAGCAGTCACTGCACAGTAAACAAGCTTTTCCTGATATTCAGGTGGATCTTGCTGTGCATCAGCTTCTGCCCGCTGCAGAAATCTCGTCCTGTTGCTGGGCACCAGCGGGAAGAGCCCGGACGCGGCCCCTCGGCCCCTGTCCCTCAGATTCTGATAGACACCGACCGGGTGCCCTCAGTCCTCCCTTCCCATTCCACTCCACGTACATCCAAAGCAGCCGGGCCTCCAGGATCTCGTGTGTGTTGTGAGAACAAACACAAATCATGCCTTATCTCGTGCACAGCGCACTGTTTTGCTCATGGCCCATATCCAGCCGGTCGGGCGAGTTGCCGATAATCACACGGCGCTCCACGCCGCCATCCCGGCATCCCCTGCTCCCGCCCACGCCATATCCGCCTCTGAGGCGGCGCTCTGGCCGGGCCGCTGCTCTCGATGGTGTTTGGGAGGGGTGTCATGGCGGCCGTTGAGGTGGCAGCAGCCGGAGCCGCCGGGAGGAGTCGCTGAGCCAGGACGGGACCAGACCAGACAAGACAAGCCAAGCCAAGCTGGGAGAAGCTGCTGAGCCGGAGGAGCCGGCAGGATGTGCGCGGCTTTGACGGACGAGTTGCCGAGCCCGGTGTGCTGAGCTCGGAGCAGGAGCCGCGACCCGCAGTAGCGAGGAGCAGGGAGGCGGAGGCGGCCCCTTGGCCCGCGGGCAGCGGCTGCAGGGGCCGCCCGGCAGGGCCGAGCGAGGCCCGGAGCCCCCGAAGCCGCGATGGCGTCGTGGCTGGGCGGGCTGGGCTCGGGGCTGGGCCAGTCCCTGGGGCAGGTGGGCGACAGCCTGTCCTCGCTCACCGGGCAGATCTCCAGCTTCACCAAGGACATCCTTCTGGAAGGCGCGGAGGAAGTGGGCGGTAAGGGGGGCTCGGGACGGGCCTGGTTCCGTGAGGGAGCTCTTCCTCTCCTCCTCCTCCTCCTCCTCCTCCTCCTCCTCCAGCCGCCGGTCCCCTCCGCACCGACCGCGGCGGGGCCTGCGCTGCCCGCACCGGCCCGCAGGGAGCCGGTCGCCGCTTGGTGCCTTTCGCGAATGCTGCTGCTTTTGCTGCCTTTGCTGCCTTTGTTTTTGTTTTTACTCCGCTCTCATGATCTCAGGATCTGGAGAATACACAAATATAGTCCCAGGCTCTAATAGCAGATGTGAACCCGTTTTAGGCTTATTATTGAGAGGTTTCTGAATTCCGTGAAGTGTTATGTTGCTCCGGAATGGCAGCACTCAAACAACACTCAATTTCCTTTCTGTTTGCTCAGTTTAGATAAACTCTCAGTTAATTAGCTGCTTTTACACCGGTTCCATAAAACTGCAGAGTTGTAGTGCAGAGGTTGTTTTGCCACTGGTGTGATCTAAGTGTGACGTGTCACAGAGGCAAAGGTTCAGTGTTTGTCAGTGTTTTGTTTATATTTCAGTTGTGCCCAGAGAAACCTGTCAGGTTCTACAATTCCCTTATAGCCAAGTAGGAGAACCTTGCTTTATAAGGATTAGTGGCTACAACGATTTATCTTTAAAACAGAAATTTAGAGGAAAAAACCAAAAACAAAAAAACCCAGAGATGTCAGAATAAGATATACTGTAAACCAGTAGTGAATAGTGAATCTGTTCTGCAATATAATATTTTCTTCATATTTTTTTGTAATGACTTGTTTTTTTTGAAAAAAACTTTAGTAAAGCTGTTGTATAATGTGGTAATAAGTATCAATAGATTATTATTGCTAGTATTACCGTCATGTAACTATAAATTATTTTAAAAGTTAGCTTTCTCAAAACAGTGTTAAGAATAGAAACTACAACAGCTAAGACTTCTGCATAGTCATGTTAAATGTGAAATTAAGCAATTCTATTTAGTTTACAGTCTCTCATCTATGAAGTATTGTGAAAAAATATTTTATTTTCCTGAGCTGTGCAGTCATCTAGAGTGTTTGTTTTGCTTTTTGAAGGATAAATTGTGAATTCACATTGGTGTACGAGTTTGTGTGAAAGAGATGTACAGATGTTTAGTAGTTAGTTCCAGGTGTGCTTCACTGCTGGATACTGCTGTGAACAACTTCAGTCTCCTAAAAATTTCAGGGTAGTACATTCATATGATGACTGGACTCCAGGGTGTAAAAAATCTAGTGCCATCCAAGTACTCTTCTGTAAAAACCTTTAAATAATATGTGGCCTTAACAACACTTTTCAAGTAGCTCCTTACAGTCTGGGGTTTTTTAATTTCTGAATTGGTCAAAATTTGCTAGGTTTTAATATTATCCTTTGCATTCAGTGTTCTGACTCCCATCAGTTGTTTGTGGATTATGGACTTGCACATCTTCATTTCACAGTTTTCATGTGTAGATTGTTTCCTCTGCAGTCAGTGCTTGAGCTGTCTCAGTTTTAAACAGCACATGAGAAATAATGAAATTCAGTATTTACTTGGAAAGTAGTACAATTTCAGATTTTGAAATATTGTTAAGGTTGCTTTATATCAATTCAGGATGATTTCTCATTGCTAAAAGGCAATGTGGTGTTTCTGTCCATTAAAGGTGGGACATAGGAGGAGTAATCATAGTCAATTTAAGGAAGATTGATCATTAAAATGTATCTGGAATTACATGCCATTTCTGTTGGATAAACTGGGATGGTAGATGTATCCCCTTTTTAGAGACAATGAGTCTTATGGGGTTGATGTTTTGTTGGGTGTGGGTGGTTTGATTTTTCTTCTGAAAGTTCAGTCACTTATGTGCATTTAATGAAATTAATACTTGTTTTGAAATTTTGCATGGCATTACAGAGAAACACAGCTCTTAGGTCAGGAACAAGTCTGAAATGAGAAACAGGTTTAGGGACACAAGATAGTCAAGTAAAACACTTATCTCCCTTACATTAAACCTTAAATGCGTACTAATCTCTTAGGGTTTTGATTTGATTTAAAGCCTAAATATGAATGAACTAAATTAGATACAGAAAGTGTCTGAAAAATAATTCTTACAGTGTTCTGATAAAAAACAGCTTTTGATATTAAGCTAGGAATGAGCATAAAAGTAGTGTGAAGTAAGATATGTATTAATAACTAGTCTTAACAGATTGAAAGGATTGTGATTAAAATGAAAATTTTCACTTTCTTTCAGATGCAGCAACAGAACTCCATGTGTCCAATTCTAGACTCAGAGAAATAGAAAGTATTAATGCAGCACAAAAGCTTGAAGTAAGAAATTTTAGATCATTATTTTGTAATTAAATGCAGTGATTATGATTTGTTTTGCATGAAGTTGAAATATTGCACTGAAATTCTTTGTCCTTGGGTAAATCCAGAAACAAGGGTGACTGGTGTTAGAATGTGACTCTGGTTTTGTGCCAAACTGCCATCACAGTTAGGAACACACATTTTATTTAGGGACAGACATGTTTATTGGGCTATGCATGTGCTGCAAGTTTTCATCTTTTGCTGACTGTGACTGTTCCTGCCTGTCAGGAGGACTTGGACTGCAGCAGTAGGCTTGGCTCTGAAAAATGTGGGCATTTCCCCTGGTCCTGTTCTCTCTCTGTTGTCCTGCTGTTTGGGCATTCTCACATAGGCTGCTCGTGCCTCTCCAAAACCACTTCAAAATCTCATGTACCCTCATGGAAAGTGACTTTCTGCACTCTTGAATAGGACTTGTTAGCCTTGTGACTTTCTTTATGTCTCTAAATAAATAACTTTCATGTGTGCCTTCAGGCCTCAAGAGGATTGTGAAGTTAAGGTACTATTTTGGGGACATAACTGTTCCTGCTTGTCCTCTTTCTAGTTTCTTGCCATCTGCTCTTGCCTGAGGTCAGAGAGAAAACACTGGATACTAGCTCCAGTTTGTGGTTTGTGACTGTTCTTAAATTCTGCCTGTGGATCTTGCTAAGATGTGACTCAGCCCTGACTTTTGTAATTATTGGCACTTATCTCTGGTCATGGCAGCCCTTTTTTCTGGAAGTGAGCTGGAGTCCATGCCATATAAAAATGGAAAGCTTGGACATAACCGTGATTTGGGGCCCACACACTGGTGTTACTGAGTGTTTTGAATGAAGTAGCATGAGAACCAATTTAACTTCTTTGCTGTCCAGTAGCTTTGTGCTTTTCTGATTCTTTAAGGACTGTTCTAAGTTTACCAACATTCATTTCTCATTTTTGCTAGAATGATAGATTGAAAAAAGTCTGTAGTGACTTAGAAGAAAAGCATGAAGCAGCAGAGCTGCAAATAAAGCAGTTGTCTATCGAGTACCGCAATCAGCTTCAACAAAAGGAGGTAAGACAGTAAAATTTCTCAGTATGTCCAATAAACTTACCTGTTGTGCTGTTTAATGCCTTTGTTCTAGTGTCTATTCTCTTCCAGTGGAAATACTGGTCACAGCTATGGCTTCTTGGTTTGTTAATGTAGACTAAGACACATTTCATCAAATCCTGTAATGTAAGCCAAGCTGCCAGGAGGTAATTGAGACAAGAGAAAACACTCTGGGAATGTCGTGCAGCTGTCAGAATTTCTGTTGTTTCTGGGATCACTGTGAGAACAGACACTCTGCTGCTTTCTATTTCTGATTCAGTTACTTTAAAAGAAGGCAACAGGAACAAATTCCCATTTGAAACAATTTTGTCTTTAGGTATCATTATTTATCTTAACAATTATTTATTAGGCATCATTATTTATCTTAACATATACAATTAAAGAGAACAGAGCTAGCTTTCAAAATTCATGAAATGTCCCTTTGTGATGGAAGCATCAGCTATATAGCCTATTGCATGAGATTTCATAGACCTAAATGAAGAAAGTTGCCAGTATGCTGAAATATACACAAAAAGGAGTTTCATTTCTCATTTGTTCACAAATTCATGTGGGAACTAGAGGAAGCAGAACTATGAGATGTATGAAATTCTGCTTGTTAAATACAGTAACAGAGTTGTTACAAGAAAATTACATGCAGATAATTTCACTTCATTGTGAGTAAATTTTCACTGCATTGAGTTGTTAAGCATAAAAGAAATCAATTGTAATAAAAATAACTAGAAAATCATTATATATTGTTTAACTTTCATGTCTGAATAGCCTCTTACATATTTTTTTTTTTTGTATAACTGGTTAGCCTGGATATTGCTGTAGTGCTTGTGTACCTTTACTGCTAAAAAACCCATGTATGTCTGAGGTACTTCATAACACTTGAGCTCAGGGTGGGGTTTTTTTCTCCATTATGAGAATATTTGGAGGTTTTTTCATTTTTTTAGTGAAAGTGATCAGTTATTTGTGATGGGGGTGTTGTTTGGTTCACATTTCATAAGGCCACAAAGGGTAGAGTGTATTTTGATATTCTTCTTATTCAAACAATGCATTTTATTTTGTATATCCAGGTGGAAATCAGCCATCTAAAAGCCAGACAGAATGCACTACAGGAACAACTGCAGAAAGTACAGACAGCTGCTCAGACTGCTCAGCTGGGAGCTGGTGTTTTGCCAGCAGCCACTGCATCAGCCTCCTATGTTCCAGAGGTCAGACATTCCTCAGGTTTTGAAGGAGATGACATGGATTTTGGAGATATAATCTGGTCACAGCAAGAAATAAACAGATTGTCCAATGAAGTTTCCAGGCTGGAATCTGAGGTTGACCACTGGAAACAGATTGCAGTGGTGAGTGGTTTCCCTTCCACACTGCCCTTCTCTCTCCACTCCAAATTATTGTTTGCATTGCACTTGGATTTTTGCAAGTTCATGCTGAAAAATTTCTAGAAGCAACATGTTGTGATGGTAAAGCTGAAACCTTTTTTGCTGTCACATCACTAAGAACACATTCAGTGACTAACTTCCAAATGCTTTTTTGCTATGCTTTTATGCATGATTTGTCAAGTTAGGTAAAGGATTTCATGATCATTCACCTAGAATGGGTCTTCAGGGTTTCATTGTTGTTCAGCCTTTCAAAAAATACTTCCCTTCCTCTTGGCTATGTTAATAATTTTTATTGCTAGCACAGTACTGTTCAAAGTAGTGGTTGGATAATTGGATGCTTTTATACTTTCTCTTCTCCCAGTCCTTGATATGCCAGTTATAATTAATGGTCTGTTGAGACAAAAATAAATATAATCTTTCAAGCTGCTGCTGCTGTGAGTTACCATTTTTCAGGTATAGCCTGATTTCAGAGATATACTTTTCCCATGTGAAAATACTCAAAACTAAGCAACCCTGTTGTCTTACTATGAGCAATAACACCCCCACTCCAAATTTTTACCCATTATATGTAGTAATGTAATAATAAAAATCCATGAAAAATTAAAATGTTTCCATTAAAATGTATTTTTTTTAAAAATCAGAATTACAGTGGATTTTTATTTTGCTGCATGTTAGCTTTGTTGTTTTCTACTTTTGAGTATCAATAGAGGAACCACTTTGATAAAAAAATACATGTATTTATCATATTTTTCATATGGATATATGGTTTGGGTTTTTTTAGTCTTCCAAAGTGCAAGGCACAAATGATGCTGAACAAAGTGAAATATGCAAACTACAAAATGTTGTTAAGGTAAGATGACAAACTTGTGCTTTACTCTTCATGGTTTTGCATATGGTGTAAATGGTGTATGGTGTATGGTTTTGCACATGACTTGTAAATATTTTAACTAACACTATTATAACATCATTAAAAATGCATGGGGGCATGTAGTAGCATAGCAACCCTTCAGTCAGCAGTACAATATTATAAACAGTTACTCTGAGAAAGGGTGTTTGTATGATTTGATAATTACAGTATGTTAGCTTGAAACAGTGACATTAGTATTTACAAGGGCAAATCACTTGTGAAGCTGTTGATCAGTTATGAAACTGTATTTTAGATATACAGAATATTTTCTCCCTTCTCAGAAACATGTTGCCTTTTTTTGTTGAATGTGTAAAATATAGCTTTTACATGTCATCCTGGAAAATTACTAAAAATGCATTCTAGTGTATCCACTTTGTATGGAAGACTTATAATTTATTTACATTAGTTTAGTATTTGCTCTTGTGGAGAGCATACTATTTGTGTAAATATATTTTTAAAAGGAATTTCTTTCTACGTGTTTAAAAAATCCCAATCAACAAAGATAAATAACCTGACGTCTGTGAGAAATCCTTCAATAAATCCTTGAATTAGACCGGGGGAAACTTCTTTCTTTTGTATTGTATTATTTCTTACATAAGAAGACACTGTGCTGTATTTTGCCATTTTGTTTCTCTAATGATATTTTTAGGAGCTGAAACAGAATTTAAGTCAAGAAATAGATGAACATCAGCATGAGCTGTCAGTACTGCAGGATGCCCACAGACAGAAGTTAGTAGAGTTAAGTCGTCGGCACCGAGAAGAGCTGCGCGAATATGAGGAGCGAATTGAGGAGCTTGAGAATCGGTTACAGCAAGGTCTCTCTTACTACATGCTTTCTGTTTCATTTTATGTGGGCTGAATTTGGGTTAAAATGCTGAATATGCATGTGCCAGTACAATATATATCAAATACATGATGTTTAGAATTTAAATTTAAATTTGAATTTCAGTTCAGCTTCATGTTTAAGACACGTGTCCAGTATCTTTTATTCGCTCTGGTTGGCTTGAGCACTGGAGTGATAGCATTTAATCTATGGAATGTATCAATCTGAAGGGTCATTTTGCATACATACCAATTGTTGTGCTCTGAATTTTGCACTTTCTGGGTTGTTTTTTTAACTTAAACTGATTATAGGTAAGGATAAGACATACTGAATCGAAGATAACAAAGTAACAGGACAAAAAAATAACTTTTGGGAGAATTGGAGAACTATGTGCCAGTTGGGTTACTTGACAAAAGCTCAAAGATTGGGTGGTGAGACAGTGGAACAAGTTGCCTAGAGAAGTTGTGGATGCCCCATTTCTGGAAATGTTTGTGGCCACATTGGAAAGGACCTTGAGCAACCTGATCTAGTGGGTGGCATTGCTGCCCATGATGATGCAGGTGTTGAAACGAGATGTTCTAAAGGCCCTTCCAACCCAAACTGTGCTGTGATTCTATGATTGCTGTAAGGACCACACCTTAGTGTGTGGCATGACTATAATGCAGAAGCTCAGGAGTTCCTACAAATAACTTTTTGTTGCCCTGTAAGTATTTCATCCTCCCTAGATATAGTCATGCCAGTTAGGTTTCCTCAAGAGGCTTCTTTGTACAAATACATAAACTTTACCTCTAAACCTCTGTATTTACCTGGAAAAATTTGAACTTCTAGAGAGTATATACTCTCCTTTTGGAGCAAGAGATCTATTCCCTTCTTGGAAAGAAGGGAAGTTTTTTTTTTTTACAGCTTGTCTAACTTTAAAGGTAGTACTGATAGGGAATTTATTCCTTAAAATCAGATGCCTGTTAAGATGTAATAGGTTTTTTCACTTCATATACATACACCACCAGCAGGACTAATATAAGGAAGTTGAAGGCAGAAGTCCCTTATCTTTTACATCACCACTTATCTGCAAAATAAATACTGCTAGTGGCTTTTGAAGAACTAGAATATTTTATATTTTTATTTTGGTCATTCTGTCTGACAACATAATAGGGACTAGGACAGGGTCAGGTGTTTGAGCTGACACAAAAGTGAATTCACAAGTAGTGTGCTTTCATTTAACTTTTTTTTTCTGCACTCTTCTGATGATGCCTTTTTGTACTGTCTGACATATCTGGAAATTATAGAAGATTATAGAGAAATATGAATGTCAGTATAGTATGAGAGTATGATGGATCTGTAAAAAGGTTAATTCTGAAAAATGTTTTTCTTCAGTTGAAAACCTTTGTGCGTCATTTAACAAATTATTTGGAGGGAGTTTTTCTCTGTAACAACTATTTGGCAAACCTTTGGAATGTAATTAATTAAATTATAAATGGGTTTTGCATCAATCTGAATTAGATGGGGTTTGATAAATTATTCTTAGAAAATTGAGAGATTCCAAATCCTGATAAATTAGATTCTCATCTCCTCACCATGAGGGGATCAAGTATATTCTAAATTGCAAACTAAATATATATAAGTGTCTTGCAACACTTATATTTAAAATTGTCTTGAGCCATGCATGTGAAAGTATTCAATAAGCTCCTTGTCCTACCAGTAATGTGTATAGCACAGCTCCAAATGTTAAACCTATTTAACCAAGCTTTCTGTTAATGATGACCTGTCTTTGTTTTAGTCTATCTCCCTCTGTCAGGAGAAGAGGTGAAAGAAGAGAAGCAAAAGATCTGGAGTGATGGTTTTGGTTAATATTGCAAATAATCTCTTTTGTCTTTTAGATGGTGTGAGCACTGATGCCGTGGATGACTCTAAAATTACTGAACAGAAAAAAAAAGCTCAGAGTCCAGATGGAGGACAGGTGGAAGAATTGCGGGTTGTAAAGGACCTAGAGGATGAAATAAGAAAATTAAATCACCAATTATCTTCTGCCAAAGCAGAAAACAAAAATCTTCTGAAAGAGCAAGAATTTGCAAAGCTAGAAAAAATCCAAATAGCACAAGATTATGAAAAGCTTAAATCTGACTTTGATGCACTTCAAAGGTCTGTGGCAGAGCAAGATGCTCTCCTGAAAGAACAGAAGCAGCCCCAGTCAAAGACATCACTGCCACAAGATGTTGTCAGCCTACAGCAAGCATTGTTAGGTACTAAGACTATGATTTTTTTACTATTATTTTTTATTTCTAGTATATTTTCAGAAGTTTTCACTTCTAAAACTCAAAATTTATTTTATGAATTTAAAACTGAATATGAGAATATGTACCTTTAAAGTATTGCTGTTCTAGAAAAGCATTGTCCATTGAAGTAAGATGAAACAGAAAAGAGAATTCTGTTAGGACTACTGTGGTTGTCATAGGGGCTTCTGATTAGGGAAGTAATCATGTCTGCCAACTGTTTGGTAGGGGTTTTTGTCTTTAAAGGTAAGTAAGCCTCAATAGAAGATGTTTGTTTAAATTCAAAAAGTACATTTTTTGTGTGTGTGTATAAATACACTCAGTTGCTCATATCTTCTCCTTTAGGAAACACTAATATTCCTGTTTAAGAAACATATCTGTAGGTTCAAAATGTTGTAATATTTCATAACTGATGAACTCTAGTGCCAAAGTCCCCCTAATGTGGGATGAGTTGTGAAAGTAATAATCTGCTTTGAGGTGGTGACTGATGGTATGTTTGAGTGTTTTATGGCACTCATGCTTGTCATCACAAAATGCTGTGAAACTATCCACTTTGAGCAGCAGAGTTCTGTTTCAGCAAGGTGGGAGAATGTTTTTGTTTTATTGTTGTTTGAAAAGTAGTAAATTATCTATTTGATTTCATTTTCCTTTATAGAAGCAGAAAATGAAATAGCAAGACTTTCCAGTTTAAATCAGGTAAAGCAATTTCTAAATTGGTTTTTTTTGTTTATTTTTTTAACATTTGCATTTCTACATAAAAGGCAACGTAATATAAAAGGAAATAATTGTACTTTAATTCTGTAATTATATGTGAATTTATAGAAACAATACATTTTTGCTTGTGAAACTCCACAGCGTATTCTATAAGAAAACCATTCAAGTTCTACCCATGTCATTATTGCCTAGAAAGCTGTAACATACATTTTCAAAGTACTAATAGTACATTCTGTAAAATATGTCATTTTTGACTTCTGCTTTAGCATGTTTCAGTTTTAGCACTTACCAGTTGTGAAATATTTCTCTTCTGTGTAGTACTCATAATAATGCATTTCATCTTACTGATGAAGTGAAGTGGTGGAACATATCACACCTTTAGTTCTTGGTGGTGTTGTCTTGGTCCTTTATGAACTCTTAGACTTGAGAGATTTGGTTTGTTTTACTTTGTATCCAGTAGCATTTTTCAACTGAGTTTTTCTGTGTTTTGCATGCATTCAAGAGTTCCCATAGCATTGTTCATAATGATGTTGTTTAGATGCCCTTGATTAAAACTTCTGTCTCACCATGCAGCCTGGCTGTGTTTAGGGTGGCTCTTGCAATTATAACAATTTATCCCAGCTGTCAATTCATACCTCAGAGGTGGATATAACTTCTTACCATACCATGGCTTTTTTGCAGAAGTTTATGCACTTAAACCAAATGATGAAGAAATAAATATGAATGTGTGAATGGTAGAGAGAAATACTTCCCAGCAAAAAATTTTTAACTGGGGTAGTGTTTATTCAGGCTTAGAGTTCTAATGTAATTTCAGCAAGATAATGTCTGATATTTACTTTTTTTTTTTTTTGAGGGACTTGAGAAGGAACTGACAAGTGCACAACATAAACATGAGAATATTCTTTCTTCGAATACAGAGGATCAGAATTCAGAAATAAATCAGTTAAGACAAGATTTGGAAAGGAAAGAACATGAATTAGATGAAAGTATTGCTGAAAGAGAAACATTAATAGCAGAGTTGGAAGAACTAGACAAGCAGAATCAAGAAGCTACTCAGGTAATAAATACTACAACTAATTATTGAACTGCTGAATAAATGTTTTGAGTTCTGTGTATGTATGTTTGTCTTTTAAGTTGATCTTTGAACATAGATAGCAGGGAAATATAAGTTATCTTTTGAGGCCTAAAAACAAATACTTGGGGCCAGTATTTCTCTCCATCTACCATCTCAATGTGAAATTCGGAAGCACAAGTAAAACCCACTTGTTATAGACAAAAAAGAAATAACGGCATTTCAGCTATCCATAAGAGATGTTACTTTATGAAGTCCAGTTAAATAGTCCCTGGTTTTTCATTGCAACATTTCTGATGAAATTTATCCTGATAATATTCTGATCTGTCTTATGATAGTATGTATTACAATGTTTTTTGAAACTCTTTCCTTTATAATTTTTAATTATGTTGAATATTTAAGTTACTTTTTTGCAAGTTCTTTATAGTATGAGCATTCGTGAAATACAAAAGTCACCAATTATATATAATTACACCTCTTTGTCGGAGTTCCAGTATATTTGACCTGTAATTTGAGTTGCAAGCCATGTGTTTTCAATTGTATTGATTTACCAGTGAATCACCTACAAAATTAATCCAAAGTTGAAACAAAAAGTTGAAAATAGAATATACAGATAACTTAAATATAATGCCACCCTTTTTTTAGCAATGGATGTTTGCTGAATTCCAAATGTCTTGACAAAGTCTGACAGTTCTTTTTTTTTTAAGAAGGTCTTTTTTTGTTTCTTCATTTAGGTAGTTAAGGTTGTTTTGGGGTGGTGGTTTTTTTTTTTTTTTTTGGTAGTGAAATGTAATCTGTTCTTATTTGATATTTAGTTTTAATTAATTTAGCATTGACTAGTTGGTCCTACTTGCCAACTTATGTTGGCGACTAAGAAACATTTTTTTCGTCTCAATTGATTTTTATTGTTTAGAGGATAGAAGTGAATGAAGTGCATAGTTCAGCTGCTTTTGCTACCCTAATGAATTCTGTTTTGTGTTCATTTCTAGCATATGATTACACTGAAAGAGCAGCTGTCGAAGCAACACACAGAAACTGATAGTGTCATCAAACAGCTGAAACTTGACATAGATTGTGAAAGAAAGAAGGTATCAGAATTAGAAACTGAGAAGATGAAAGCTATTAAAGAGTTAGATAGTCAGAAAGAAAAACTAAGCCACTGTTCATATGCACTTAATGATTTGCATATAACTAAGCAGCAGCTACAAGACAATATTAAAGATCTTCAAGAACAATTAAGGAAAGCCCATGAGTGTAATTCACATAGTAAAAAAGAAATTGGAGAGTTGCAGCAGAGACTAAAAGAAAGAGAAGAGGAACTTGGTGTATCCTTGAGCAAGTTAACAGAAAAAAGTAATGAGGAATCTAACCACACTTGTCAAGATCTGATTCTGAAAGACAGAGAAGTAGAAATTGCAAAACTACAGAATGATGCTTCAGAAAACAAACGAATAAATGAAGATCTACAGAAATCTCTGTCTAATCTCAGAATAGAAAATGGAAAGCTGATGGCAGCCATTGAAGAACTAAAACAGGAGTTAAGTGATGCCATTTCTGAGAAAAAGAAAGTTCATTTGGAAAAAGACACTCTTGTGGAGGCTTTGAAAATGGAGAAAAGGCAGTTAGAGAGTGAATTAAATGAGACAGAGAAGAGGCTTTTGGAACAAGCACGTAATTATGAGAAAACTATTGAGGATCTGTCAAAGGCCCGTAGTATGGACACCAGTGCCCTGCAGCTCGAGCATGAGCGCCTGGTGAAGCTTCACCAAGAGAAAGACTTTAAGCTTGCTGAGCTTAAAAAGACCATGGAGCAGATGGAACTTGACCATCAAGAAACAAAGGAGATGTTGACTACTAGCTTAGGAGGACAAAAGCAGTTGACGGATCTCATAAAAGAGAAGGAGGTATTCATTGAAAAATACAAAAATCAAGCCTTACAGGCGAAGCAGGAACTTGAGGAATATATGAAAGTTTCAAAAAAGCAGGATGTCTTAAAACAGAACTTGGAGGAAAAAGACAGAAGTCTTGCAGTCATGAAGGAAGAAAATAATCATTTGAAGGAAGAAATTGAACGGCTTAAGGATCAGCAAAGTAGATCTACACCTGTGGTTGAGCCTAAAACTTTAGATATTATTATTGAACTTGAAAGTGAGGTAACACAGTTAAAAGTGATAAAGAGTAATCTTGAAGAAGAAATAAAAGTTCACAAAAAAACAATAGAAGATCAGAATCAAGCAACAGTGAAGCTTCAGCAGTCACTGCAGGAGCAGCAAAAGGAAATAGATGAGTCCAAATTGCAGTGTCAGCAAATGAATGTCACACATGAAAGACTCTTTTTAGAAAAAGATGAGGAAATCAAAAATTTGCAGAAAACAATTGAACAAATTAAAACTCAGTTGCACAAAGAGAGACAGATTATTCAGACTGATGCTTCTGATCTTTTTCAGGAAACCAAGGTTCAGACTCTTAATGGAGAAAATGGAAATGAAAAGCATGACTTATCTAAAGCTGAAATTGAAAGACTGGTCAAAGGTATCAAGGAAAGGGAGATGGAGATTAAGCTGTTAAATGAAAAGAATGTTTCTCTAAGTCAGCAAATTGATCAGCTGTCTAAGGATGAAGTTGGTAAACTTACTCGGATCATTCAAGAGAAAGATTTAGAAATACAAGCTCTTAATGCTAGAGTTTCCTCAGCTTCCTACAGACAGGATGTTCTTTCCCTTCAGCAGCAGCTGCAAGCTTATGTTCTGGAAAGAGAACAAGTACTAGCAGTTCTAAGTGAAAAGACAAGGGAGAACAGTCAGTTAAAAACAGAGTATCGTAATATCATGGACATGGTCGCTGCTAAAGAAGCAGCTCTGGTGAGGTTGCAGGAAGAGAACCGAAGGTTATCCAATAGATCTGAAAACAGCAGTCAAGAAATGTCTAGAGAAACTATTCAGAATCTATCCCGTATCATTCGAGAAAAAGACATTGAAATAGATGCCCTAAGTCAAAAATGCCAAACCTTACTGACTGTCTTGCAGACATCCAGTACAGGTGCTGATAATGGGGCAGGGGGGGTGAACAGTAACCAGTTTGAGGAACTTCTGCAAGAACGTGATAAACTGAAACAGCAAGTAAAGAAAATGGAGGAGTGGAAACAACAGGTAATAACCACGGTGCAGAACATGCAGCATGAGTCAGCTCACCTCCAGGAAGAGTTGCACAGGCTGCAAGCACAAATTTCAGTTGAAAGTGATAGTACTTCAAGGCTGCAAGTAGATTATAATGGCTTGATTCAGAGTTATGAACAGAATGAGAAAAAGCTGAAAAGTTTTAGCCAGGAATTAGCACAAGTTCAACACAGCATAGGACAGCTTTATAGCACAAAGGATCTCCTCCTGAGCAAACTGGATTTGGTAACACCATCTGTGGCAACAGCTGCCACCGTTTCACAGCTTTCAGGTGTTCAATGCAGTCCTCCTGAGGCGCTCAGTGAGGAATCTAAACTCCTTCAAAATGAGTTGGAACAACTGAAAAAAAAGTTACAAGAAAAAGATTCAACTATCAGGATTCTTCAGGAAAACAATCAGCGATTATCTGATTCTGTTGCTACAGCATCAGAGATTGAAAGAAAGAGTCAAGAAGGAACTGAATCAGAGATGAGACAGATCAAAGAAAAACATGATGTGTTACAGAAGTCACTAAGAGAAAAAGATATATTAATTAAATCTAAAAGTGATCAGTTACTTTCTGTGAGTGAAAATCTTAGTAACAAAGAAAATGAAAATGAGCTTTTGAAGCAAGCTGTAACTAATCTAAAAGAAAGAAATTTAATTTTAGAAATGGATATTCGAAAACTGAAAGAAGAAAATGAAAAAATAGTTGCAAGGTGCAGGGAAAAAGAAACAGAATTCCGTGCACTTCAGGAGACTAATATGCAATTTTCAATGATGCTGAAAGAGAAAGAGTTTGAGTCTCACTCAATGAAGGAAAAAGCTCTTGCTTTTGAGAAGCTGTTGAAAGACAAAGAACAGGTATGTACTTTGATACTTCTGACTATCTCTTCAAAGTAGACGGATTCGAAGTAATATGCTTCCTGAGTATTTTTGTGTTGCAAGGCCATAGATGTCCTGCCCTGTTCCTTGTTAGATAAGTTGTATCTTTACACTCTTCCTGGCAAAGACTATGCCTCAGGTAAAATTGCTGGCCATGTTTGAAATATTTGTTTATGTCTTCAACAGGGCAAGACAGGAGAATTGAATCAGCTGTTAAATGAAGTTAAATCAATGCAGGAAAAGGCTGTTACTTTTCAGCAGGAGAGAGACCAAGTGATGGTAGCACTGAAACAGAAGCAAATGGAGAGCAGTGCTCTGCAGAGTGAGGTACCACCAAATCATTTATAGTTGCAAGAAATAAACGAAAAATGAGTAAGAAATTGCATCTGTAATATTTTTTGGATTATTTTAGTAGCAGTCACTTGTTAAAAGCATTTAAAATTAATACACTAGCAATGTGCTTCAATGGATATGCGTTACATTTTTTACTTAATTTTTTTTATATGAAGTGACAGTCCAAGCAACTTATGGTATGTTCTACACAGGTGCAGCATTTGCATGAGAAGGAGCAGCGCCTAAATCAGGAACTGGAGAGGTTGAGGAATCACCTTTTGGAAATGGAAGACTCATACACCAGAGAGGCTTTAGCTGCAGAAGACAGAGAGGTCAAGCTGAGAAAAAAGGTTTTGATTTTGGAAGAAAAACTTGCATCCTCATCTACTGCAGTGGAGAATGCCAGGTAGTCTTAAATATCACAGTTAACTAAACTGATGCTCATGCCTCTATTATACTGAGCTTCTATCCTGTAGCATACTAAGTACTTGAAAAAACAAAAAGATAGGAACATTTGTTACTCAGAATCATGAGGGTGATTTGAAATATACTTGGCTACTGTCAAGAGTTTAATGAATTTCTCCTTTCAGTAACAACTATTGAAACCTTACATCATCAACAGTGCTTAGAACTAGAAAAAAAATCCTTAACCCATCAATTTAGCTGTGTGTTAAAGTTTGAAAGAGTCTTATTTTATATTCTTCAGTACACAAGCATGCATTGTCTGTGAGTGTCATGACTTGTGAATTGTTTTAGAGACACTTACACATTAGTACTTTGTCCCTGATACCATGGAAAGTATACACTGCTGAGAAATTCCTTCTTCATAGTGTAAACATATAGAGCAAGATGCACTGCATTTCTCATGAGTAGCAGAATCTGGGAGGCTAGAATATTTTGGCACAATGGGAAATAAAGTGGAGCATTCAGTCATTAGTAAGTAGGAAGATGTACTGAGTTCTTGGAGACTGGGGTTAAAAGTAAAACCTGGTAGAAAGACCTATTCATTCATAGTAATTGAAGCAGACAACTAGGAAGATCCAGATTTTTTTTTATAAAGATGCTGTTATAATAATGAACAAAAAATAGGATTTTTTCTAATGCATTTCAACCAAAAGACGTTAATTGGTATTTTTTTTCTTTGATTGTTAAAATTTTGTTGGCAGACTTCTGTTAAATCTCTTTTTAGGTTGGTTTTGTTTGTTTGTTTTTAAAGAGGAATTGGGGGGAAAATACCATAATTTTTGTAAATTGAGCTCAAAAATTTTGGTAAGAATTTTTTTGGTGGGATTTAATTTTCACTGTGATAAGTTCTGTTATTTAAGTAATGTATCTTGTTTTCATTAAGCCATCAGGCTAGTCTGCAGGTTGAATCTTTGCAAGAGCAGTTAAACCTAGTGTCCAAGCAGAGAGATGAAACCATGCTGCAGCTGACCATCTCCCAGGACCAAGTGAAGCAGTATGCACTGTCTCTGGCCAACCTGCAGATGGTACTAGAGCAGTTCCAACAGGGTAAGCTTTGTCCAAAAGTAGCAAAGATTGCAACAAGTATTTTGCAGCTGGATAGTTACCATATTTTGGTGCTTTCGAAGTATTGATTACCTTGTTTCCTTTTTGATAGCCTGAATTTCAAAACCTGTTCTCTATTAAAAACTTGAAAAAAACTATTCTGTGAAAACTGTTGATCAATATCACATTTATGGAATTTGAATTCCACCTCTATCTCGTGAAGACCAGATATGAAAATGCTGAGGCTTTGTAATTGCATATCCCAAGAAGAGTTACATGTTGTAAATTAAGATAGTTTTGTTTTGTCTCTTATTTTTAATTCTTTAGAAGAAAAAGCTATGTATTCAGCAGAGCTGGAGAGACACCAAAAACAGAGTGCAGAATGGAAGAAGAAAGCAGAAAACCTAGAAGAAAAAGTTGTATCACTGCAGGTGGGCTAAATAATGAAATTGAGCATTGTGAAACTAAATTGTAATTCTTCACTGAGCAAGCAAAATAGCATTTTTCTGCTGACACTCTATTTTCTGAGTGTGTTTACAATCCAGTTATTTGAAAGAACAAGTAATTGCAGTCTCTTCATCTGTTGTGCATGATGTGTGTGGTATTAGGGTAATGTGATATTGATCTCCCTGCTTCTCTTTTTTTTTTTTCCTTTCCTACCCTCTATTTAGGAGAGTTTAGAAGAGGCAAATGCTGCTCTGGATGCAGCATCCAGGCTTACTGAGCAGCTTGACATCAAAGAGGAGCAGATTGAAGAACTTAAGAAAGAAGGTAACTACATTTTTTTTGTATTTCTGCTTAAAATATTTCAACAGCTGAGGAGATAATGTAATATTCCTAGAAACTTACCAAAATTCATATCCTATGAGGGACTAATTCTGTGCCACATTTTGATGACTTCCTTGTTTATAAAGCAAGTATAAAAAAGTATATTTACCTTCTGTTAGACATCTTTTTCAAAAGAAAGCCCTGTAGAAGTTTTTTTTGATTTTGGGGGTTTTTCCCTGTAAATACCAAGACACTTGAATTAGCTCTGTGTCTATTTTAAAAGTTGGTGAAAGGCCAAATGTTGTCAGATTTTCCAAAGTAGCTACCATATTTGACATAGATACAGAGCGCAGTGAGGTAAAGGTGTGCAGTGGGTACAAGACATAGAGGCAGCAGCTCTTGCACAGATGTGACTGCAATCTCTGCTGGGTGCAGTGGTAACCCATGCTTTGAACATATGCAACTAATTATTGCTATACCTTTTTAAATGATCATAAGTCTTACTCTTGTAATAAGTGATGTTTTCTTGAAGCATTCTTGCTTATGACAGATAGGTGGTGTGAGATCTCATTGGAAAATCTTCAAGATTCCAGCAAGAGCTCTACAAAAAACAGTCTATTGCTTTTCTGCTACATATTTGAATGTGTACTTACTTAAATTTACTTCTCTCCAAGTGCACTTTGGCATCCAAGTGGGCATCATAGATGTGCTTCCTGAGTTCACATATGAATTTTATAAGCTCAATTAAATTTCAAACTGCTACATAATGTACAACTACTGATCTGCTTTTGAATTGACTGATCTGTATATCTATATCTCACTACAGACATTCACAGCAAAAGTTCACAAATCCTGGATTGAAATTAACTTTGGCATAGGCAAATACTGCTCTTAAATGGGAAGTTCTTCATTACTGTTTATTTTGTTGTTAAAACCTTGCTTAAGAAAGCAGGAGGGATTTAAACTCACAGAGAAAACTGAGTATCAAGCGGTGTTGTATTGACAAGCAATGTACTTGATAAAAAAATCGAAATGGAATTGCTGCATAAAGGAAACAGCACTTTAATGTTGTTGTAGGGTAAATAATGACTTTTATAGAAAGAAAAAATAACACTTCGTATTCTCTATTTATACAAGAAAACATAAAATGTCTTATTGCAAATTGGCCAAATACATTCCCAGACACAGTTTTGTTAGCCAAGTCTTTTGAAGGATTTCTTCATGGATTTTTTGGCAGAAGAAGTGATTTTAATGGAAAAGTATAAGATGTACCAGATGCAGTTTTCTGGATTGCCATAAATGGTTAACAAATTATTGGACACTGTAATTGTCTGGTTTACAGCAGTCCATGCTGAGTTTTGGCTCAGGACATTTTTGTTACTTAGTCTTTTCATACACCCCAAGTACATGTTTAAGTCCTTTTCAGCTGTAGGATTCTATTTTAGAGGGAAATGTTCCATTTAAAAAATATTTTTAAGATAAAGTTGCATAATCACTGTGGATGGAATATAGCTCTGTAGTGGTCCTGAAAAGTTGATCCTCTTTGATATCAATTTTCATTTAAATTATTAACGCTTTTAATTTTTTTTAATTATTAATACTTTTGTTTTAAGATCCATCATAAAGGAATACATGAAATTAATAAAAATCGAAAAAGCAACTCAAAATTGTCTTGCTTTGTAGAGAAATAGCAACAGTGTAAAATTTAATTGAAATTTGTTTTCAAATGCTGCTTGTTTATCTTTTTGTGGCATTGGTGGCATGACTCTCTATTCCCTTCTGCTCTGTGGACATGCAAATAACAACTCACCTATGTATGCTCCTGCAGCTGTATCATTCTATAATCATGTTGCCTATGTTTTCCTTCAAGTGTTGGTGTCCTATTTAACCATATTTACAAAGCAGCATAATTTTAAGTAAATGTAAACTTTGAAACCATGGATTAATTCTCCTGTGCCTCACCCTGGTGTGTTGAGAGAGAAGTGCTGAAGAGCAGTCACATTATTGGAATGAAATTCAATGCATATGGATGTAGTTGTTACAAGATACATTGTTGTATAATACAGGTTTTCCTTTAGTTTTAACTTGCTTTGAATGAGGAGCTTACTCTTGAATAAGAGCTTTCCCAGCATGACATTAGGTTGTTCTATTCTGTACTCCTTAAAATTCATATTTGTGAAGTAAAATGTTTGCATAAAGATGTGGAGTACAGGAGAACAGGGCATAGTAGGTTGCATCCATTTCACAGACTGGCTCTTTGATGTGTGTATATATATGAAATCTGTGTGAATTCTCATGGAGTTAATTAATTAGTGTTAATTGAGAACTATGTTTTGTCAACATAGTTGTGGCATGTACTTATTAAAGATTGGAAGTTGTGGAAATGAGTGGAATCCCTTTCCATGCACCACAGATTATTTGAAGGTGGCAAAAATTCATAGAAGTCATTTTTCTTACAAAGATGTTGAGGCTTTTTAGAAATTAACTATAAGATAGATGAAACAAAAGCGTGTCTTTTGTGGCTTTTTAATGAAGAATTTTTAACTAACATGAGCCCAAAAACTGTTAAAAACTAAGTTGACCAGCAGTTTTTCCAAAGGATTTGGAGGTAAGCATTATACCTCATAGGGAGAGAAGAGAGAAAGTTCATCCCATCTGCTTATATCTGTAATTAGAGTTGGTCTTCACACAGACAGTCCATTTTACAGTATATTTGTCAGGTTTTTGTGTTTGAATAAGGCTCAATTGTACTTTTATTAGGCTTCAGAGGTAGTATGTTGCAGAACCCCAGTCTGGTGAGAAATGACACTTTTGCTGTTTTTCTGGTCTTAGGCCACCTCACATTCATTGACTTATAATTCTGGCCTACTTATTCAGCTTGCAGGCCATGATGCCTGACTGAAGTCTTTGTCATTTTTCTCTCAGTCATGTTTTTGGTTCATGGTAGCTGTAGCATTTCATCTCTTCCATTCATGGTTTTGTTCCCAAAAGTAGGGGTCATCTTGCATATGTCTGCTTCTCTTGCTAGAATACTGAATTTTGAAGCACAACACTGTTTCTATGGTGCATTAGTGTGTCCCAGCATGCTGTTTCCAGGGCTTGCATCAGTCACAGGAGTGGGAAGGGTCCAAACAGAGCAGACCCTCAACAAGCTCCTGATGTTGCTCTGCTAGCAAATAATGCATCTAGGAAACTGAAGAACTCCTTGGTGCTTCAAAGGAGCAACTTGATGGTAGGGTACACAGAATACCTGGGCTTGGATAATATTGGAGGTTATGGGCAGAGATCAAAAAGACCTGATGCCACCATGGAATTTGGTCTTTCTGAAGAAGATTGCCACCACAAGACTACAGACCTTGCTGAAGAGTTTCTTTCTAGTTCTGTATTATTTAGATATAAAAGAGCAGTTCATCAGACCTTCTGCAATGTATTTATTTAATGTGTGGTCCTGTATTTTAACTTTGAGTATCATTCCTGAGATGTCAGCTTGTGGTTTCAAATAGCAATGACTTACTAAGTTGACACCTTTTTTTAAAAAAATCACATAGATTTTTTGGTTTTGCTTTTTATTTAAAAGCACCATAGCAATGTTTATGAAGGTATATATTACTGATTGATTTTGCAACAACGTTTCAAAGTTTTTGTTTCTTTTGTTGTGACATTACGTTTATAGGTGAGGTCAGAAGAGAAATGTTAGAAGATATGCAAAATAAATTAATGAACCTTATGAACAGCACAGAAGGAAAAGTGGACAAGTAAGTCTTTAATGAAATATTTGGTCTAAGTTTTTGGGTTTATTCCTCTCAATGTACAGATGTGGCACTCGCAGTTGCCAGTGTAGTAGAGGATTGTACTTCTGTATGTTGTCTTGTAATTGCACTTCTATTATTTTGACATTTTTCAATTGCTTGGTGGTTGTAAATAGTCATTTTGATTAGTAAAACCAATAGATATGTGACTTTGGCTCACTGATTTGTTTCTTAAGCAGAAGTGCACTTCTGCGGCATCAGCTCTGCAAATGGAGATAAGAGTTCTTAATGAGCATATTTTATAATGTTCAGGGTGTGAACAGCAAGCCTTTTCATGTGTCTGCATCACCTGGATGTCATGTAAATCTCTTCCTTGGTGCTTTTTTTTTTTTTTTCTTTTCTACCCAGCAGAACTGGAACAGGGGTAGGCAGATGGGCTCCCCTGCCCCCTTCATTATGTCTTGGTTTGGGACTACACAGAGCTTTCTTTTTAAATACTCTGCTGAATCAAGATCTTAGAACAAAGATTTTCTCTGACTGTAGTATGTACATCCAAATAGCTCATATTACCATTCAGTTTCACCTCACTGCATACAATATTGCTAATACTGTCCAAATCCACACTGTGTAAGAAATAACTTAGAGGAAATTGGTGAGGTACCCTTTAGTTATTTGTATTTGGTGTGTTCATTTATATTACTGTAAATTAGAGAAGAGTATGAGGAATAAATGCATCAATATTGTCGTGTCAGCTGTTACACAATAGCAGCTTGTATAACTACCTTCTTTTATTCTGCAGACTGTTGATGAGAAATCTCTTCATTGGTCATTTTCATACTCCAAAAAATAAACGTCTTGAAGTGTTAAGGTTAATGGGAAGTATTTTGGGACTGAAAAAGGAGGAACTTGATCAGGTAATACTTTGCAGAAAACGAGGCACTTTTTTTTTCTTTTCCTTTTTTCTTTTCTCTTTTTCCTTTTTTTCTTTTCTTTTTTTTTTCCCAGTATCCTTGTCTGAAAGTAGAATGACTTGCTGCTGAGGTAAATGTCCCTGCACATTTTGTAGGGAAAGTGTTTTTTCTTCTTTTCTCTCACTTTTTTTTATATGGGACTTTTTAATGTTTTTTATATGATTATCTTCATCTTTTGATAATGTTGTTTTAATAGGGTAGATTTCATTTTGCTGAGGAATGCTGATGCAGAAAGGAAAGCATTTTGTGCTGTTGTGTAGAGTAGCTGTAATATATCAGTTACAGAAAAGTAAGCCTGTTGTATATGTACCAGTAGTTATTGTGGAAAATGTGAGGCTTATGTTTTTAAATAAAGAGGCAAGTTTTTAGACTGCCATCTCTTTGGGAGGTGGAGAATATGATTTTGACAACAATAAAAATTTGTATTTATCTCTAAGAGTGACACGTTATGTCGACTTGCAGCTTGTATTTATTCACTTTCTTTTATGCGCTGCTTTATTTTTGTTGTTTCCTAACTTTGTTTTCCTTAAATACTTCTCTAGTTACTATCTGAAGAGCAAAGAGGAGTTACAAGATGGGTGACTGGCTGGCTTGGTGGAGGAGCTGGGTCAAAGAGTGTTCCTAGTACACCTTTGAGACCAACTCATCAGAACATTTTTAATAGTGTAAGAATTAGTCATTCGTTCTCTTGGTTTGAGTGGAAAAATGGGGAAGTTGCATATTAATGCCATGTTTGGCTCATCAGTATATTGAGCTACATTTACTGGTGCTGCTGTATCTTGCCTTAATTGTTTTGTGCAACTGCTTTGGCAAAAGGTTTTTTCCTGCACTAAGGAAATATTTAGACATTGAAAATTACACAGTGATAAATCTTGTCTTCTAATACAGAAGACAATTACTGTTCCACTGGTTCCTGGCATCACTCTCTTACAGTATGGACTTCATCTTGCAAACTATGAATGCTGGAAGTTAAATGTATGTGAGAGTGTGGAATTACACAATTCTCAACAGTATAGAGTATGATGACATTGTATTTTGATGATTGTGTTCCCATATGTCCTTTAAATTGAGAAGCTTTTTCAGCTGCTGCAGCTAGTGCCTCTTATGTACAGCATATAAAACTTATATTTTAAGTTTTCAAATAGTTTAAAATAACAGATCTAATAGCATGATCCACAGGAGCAGTTTATCTATAGAACTTTCCATTTTGCAGGCCAGTAAATAATATAGTCAAGGACCAAGCACTGAGGGATTGGAGTTTTTGGATTGACTGGTTTTTTGCTCAGTTGAGCTAGAAATATTGAGAATGGATCTCTGTAAATAATCTTGAACTGTAGGGATTGATTTTTTCTCCCTAAAATAGTGCAGGCACATAGGCCACTAAAGGACTGTGGTCTGATTAACTGTAGAAGTAAAAGAGAAAAATTAATGCTTCTGTGTGAATAGGACAGACTTTACTAAGCCAAATTTTATCTTGTCATACTACCAACATCTTAATCATTCCATGCTTCATTTATTTGAGATTCTTTATGAAATAAAGCATGCAGGGCCTTTAAGAGAAAAGATTGGGTTTTATGTGTTTCTGAGGGAGAGATTTGTTGAGTAAAGACTAAGGAAGTACTGTAATGTCAGTAATAGCATAGAATTCTTGAAATAACTGGCTTAAATCAATAATGGAACCATGGTAGAAGTAAGTTTGTTATCTTTAGAGTTTATCAATTTTATATAAATGCCTCTTAGTGAGACAACAACAAAGAGTGTATTTTGAAAATAAATTTGTCTCTCACTGAGGACTGCTTAGTACTAAGTACAAGTAAAAAATTGATTGCAGGGCACTTGACAGCTTTTTATTTTATGTATATATGTATTTTTGACTTAGTGCTTTTCACCAGAGCATCAGTGAAATATAATAACTAGTAACTTCTTATAGTCTTTTTCAGAACTGTTCGTGAAATTCCTTGAAACTGAATCTTCCCCAAGCCTTCCCCCACCCAAGCTCTCTGTTCATCACATGAAACCTTTAGGAGCAGCAGGAACTGGTAAAACTAGCAGTACTCCACCCAACAGTCAAATGCAAGGTAACATTCTAATCTTTACACAGAACATAACTAAGGGTAGAATTTTCAAGAGGATTTTAATGCTTCTGTGCTTCCTCACTTGTAAATTAAGAACTTGATTTCTTCTCCCCAACCATGTCCTACTTTTGTCTTTTTTTTTTTTATTCTTCTCCTGTCTCTCCTTCCCATTGCATCTATACCTCACTTTCTAAACTCTCAATACAGAAGATTAGAGGAACCAAATTCTCTTTGATACAGGAAGGATTTAACAGCACCTGTTAGAGTCAAACAGTTGCTGTGTAGACAACTTCATACAGTGTAGCAGTGAACCCAGTCCTGATTTTCAGCATCCCTGTTGATCAGCTTGTGTTGAAGTGAGTGAAGAATGCAAGTAATACAACTTTGCAGCATCTCTCTGGTGTGTGTAGAACCTGGTTGCTCAGAGAGAAACAAAAAAAAATCAGTTAAGTGTATGGCCTGGTATGAAATCTCTGTAAGCTGTGCAGAAGTGTTGACTTTTTCTAAGACAGAGAACAGTTCAGCTTATATTATACATGTTAAATGAATGAACTTTTGTCTTAAATAATTTAAAATTCAAATCTTCAATTTAGCTAGTCCAGTTTGGACCTAACTTTTTACAAATGTTTAGGACTTCACCTTAATATAGGCCTGCTGGTTTGCAGAAGCTTGCTTTGTTTGAAACTTAGCTGTAAACTCAAAAGAAAATTAAAACAAAAAGCCCTGAACACCAAACCCCTAGATATTATGTGTATGTACAGAGATAGCATGAGATGCTAAAAAAGCTTCTTTCAATTCACCTAAAGTAGTTGATTGTTACAAAGTGCTGTTTATTTATGGGGGTTTTCTTGGGGCTGACCCTGGGGAAGCTGTGCCATGTGTTGGGAAACCTTCCTGTGCTCTGCATTGTAGTGCATGTGCCCTTACACCTCTGCACAGTGCTGGAGTGAGTGTGACAGATACTTTGTGTCTGGCACTGCAAAGGTGAAGTGAACTGCAAAGGGTGTTCATGTTGCCTGTCAGATGTGCACGTTTTCTTGGGTAGCTTGAGCTGTTACAGAGTTTTGGTGGTGGACTTGGCATTGCTGGATTAACAGTTGGACTTGATTTTAAGAGTCTTCTCCAACCTAAAGGATTCTATGGTTCTATGAGAGTAGTCAGAGACAATAGGAGTCTTTGAAGGTGTCTACAGTCTATGGCTAGGAGATTTTCAAGGACTTACATGTTGCAGAAGTAATAGGCAGTTTTAGAACGTGTCTCTGAACAAATGCTGAAAAATTGGATAGATTTAGGAATGCTTTTTAACAAAGTGTTTTCATTGTTGGTTTGGGTTTTTCTATATTCCAGATTCTCCAGTCTCAGGAATGGGTAGAAGACCAGATGCAAATCCATTTTTAGCACCTCGATCTGCAGCAGTGCCTCTCATAACACCAGCTAGTAGTTCTGGACATCTGCTTATGAAACCTATTTCTGATGCATTGCCTACTTTTACACCACTGCCAGTGTCCCCTGATGCCAGTGCTGGTGCTGTTTTAAAAGACCTCCTAAAACAATAGATGACCTTGTATCAGTACGATGATAGCACTTTAAGTGAGAACACTTATGTTGTATATAATTTACCACAATGAGGCCTTCTGTAAAAAGTCATGTATTTGATTGCAATTGTACCTTGCTTTTCTTGTACTTACAAACTTATCAGTGCTTCAGAAATTCTAATGGTGGAATGAATAATTGCCTTCTGTATAGCAGGCATTCATTTTGGGTGTGGGTTAAATATTTAACTGAGAAAAAAATCTATCTTGTTGCTAGATTGTCACAAGACAAAGGATTTTTAAACCTTAGGTATACTTGGTTAGTTCAGATATGCATAGACAGCATTAACTCTTTGGTGTTGAAATTTGTTTTTCCGTTAAAATGATCTGCCATCTATGTTCAAGAACCAGACTAAAAAAATAAATTAAACACCCAATTAATGGTGTTTATTTAATGTACTTTTGGACATGTATTTCTTATTTACAAGTTTTGATTGCATTTGGGGGCAATTTGAGGCACATTAATATCTTTGCACAATGATTTGGTTTGGCCCCCCAGACTAAGAGCTGTTTTCAGCAGTCAAACCCATCAGCACCAAGGAGTTAACTGTGAAGTGAGGCTTCACATCCACGTGAAGAATGGGTAATTTAGCAGATGATACATTCACATATATATAAAGACACTGTGCTCTAATGGTCCAAGGTGTATATATGAGAGAATTTTTATCTTGCAAGATTTTGTAGATCCAAATATAGACTTAAAGCTTGAACACATGTATAGAATTAAAAGGGAGGAAGGTGCTTGCTTATCTCAAATGTGTAAATAGGTCTTTGTACAACCAAGGCCAAAGTCAATTATTCTGTAAATTTTGCTGTGATAACTTGTACACTTTGTTTAACAGGTAAAGAATGAAGTTGCATACTAAAGAATAAGAGTCATCCTCATAGTGAATCTGAGATAAAACATCTTCAGTTTAAAATGTGTCATTTCTATGTCTTTTTATATGCCTCTCCTTGTTAAGTCAGTGTTAAGATAACTGTTGTGCAAGTTCTATATTAGAACTGTCAACCTTCTTCATTTTCATTAAGGTTCTGGATAAAATTGTTGTAAGAGTTATATTTAAATAAAACTAATTAGTGAACTTGTACAGAATCAACCAAAATAATGCAAGAATTCTTTGCATTTATTTATATAGAGGTCATATAGTGAATTTTGTTTATTGCCTTGAAACCTAGCAAAGGTTTTTTATTTGCTGTACTTACTTTAAGAGCTATTTGAATCCCTTTTCTCCAGTATAGTAGCATTCCATGAAAAACTTAGCAAATTTGTAACTGGATTGACCTACCATATTGGATTTTGATTTTAAATTTTTTACCCAATTATGGACAGTTTGATTTCTGAAAAGACAGCAGCCACATATTTACCAAAGTAAATTTTGTGTTATGCAGTAAATGTAATGAGAATGTCAAATTACCTCAGCTGAGAATATTGCAGTTAGTTACTTCAAATATACATCTTCATTTAAACTGGACTGGAACAGCTACTTTTTTTCTATATAGTGATTATAAAGAAAAGTGAAATCAGATGGCTTCTGTGCAATCTCTCTTGGTCTTGTAGTCATGTCTGTTTAATGATATATAGCTGCTTCGCAATAAAATTGCCTTTTGGTGAGCCAAAGCAGAAGGAAATGGTTAGTTTTTAAAAATTATGTGACTTATGTGTTGTAAATTACAAATGGAGTCATGCTGCTCACAATTCTCTGAAGATACTAACTGTGCAGTTCTTAACTTTTTAAATGCATTATTTTCTTCTTTAACTGCAGAGAACTTCATATGTACACATTTCTCTTTCAGGGAGCTTTCTAAATTGCAATAAAGAAAACATAGTGAGACCAATTATTTCTGCATGCTGTAAATCAGTTCTGTTTATACACTAAGCTATGAGTTTGAAGAGGGAAATCTAATACCAAGCAGAGGTACTGAAGAACTTCAGAGTTCCTCATTAAGCTCCTTGATGGAGACAAAAATCTTCTACAGCAGAGATACAAAGTGCTTCAGTCCTTAAGTCCTAGAAGGTGAGCTCTGTTGAACAAGACTTAGAGGTTTCTTTTCTAGGGCTTATTCCACAGGTACATTGGTGAGATTTGATGCTGTGTTAGAAATCAACTGGACTCTGTGTTCCAGGCAGTACTTTCGTGCAGAAAAGTATAGAACAACTTCATTATTTTGTTTCTTTCTTCCTTCTTTGAATGTTTCACAGACCATTACAAACATTCAAGCTTTGTTTTCATTGAATGATTAGTAGATATATTTTTTCCTCTAATTTTTCTTCTGTGTTTACATTGTTCTTGATAACTGTTCCATATATAATTGCCTTACCAGTTTCCCACATGTACATACGTGACTCATGTAGTCTGTCCTGTTGATTGTGTGGGTTTTTCACACAGCAGCATGAGGAAAAAAATCTCTGGAATTTGTGAACAAGGTGCAGCAGCTGAAATTTTTCATTCTTTCATTTAACGTAATTGTTTTCTATGGCTTTTGCAAGGAGAAAGGTGTCTGATTCTCCTAGTTTTGGTCTAACAAGCTGTCAGTTATCTTTAGTTGTAAGGTTACAGAACTCTAGTAACAGATTCATTTTGCAAGCTTGATGTAAGGGGGGAAAATGAAGGCTAGGGTTTTCTGTTCTTCTCCTTAGACTTTCTGATTTTTTTGCTGTTCTTTGCTTCTCCTGCATTCCATGCACAGAGAAGGAAGTAACTGCTTGATCTTTCTAGTTGCCACTGTAAAGGAATGCACAGTGTGGGGTTTGGGGGTTTTTAAACTTTCCTGCATTACACCAGCTAGTCACTGCAATATAAATTCACACATTGTAAGGACCAGTGTAGAAACAACTGGGTTTTTTACCAAGTGCCAGTCCCCTGCATTTTATTATTGTTTCTTTTTGTCATTCTTGACTCATTTGCATAAGTAGTTACCAATAAGGCAGGCACTCTGGACTACATGTTGGAGTGACTGATGGCTAAAGCAGAAGAGACAGAATGGAAGATGCTTGCCTTGTAAGTATTTCACATTATTACATATCTCATGAAGACTTTTCAGTTCATTAAGGTCTTATTGCTTGTGTTGATATACTGCTGGGTTTCTGGTATTTTCATAGAATCATGAAATGGCCTGGTTTGGGAGGGACCTTCAAGATCATCCTGTTCCAACTCCCCTGTCCCCTTTCACTAGACCAGGTTTTTCAAAGCCCCATCCAGCCTGGCCTTGAGCACTTCAGTGAGGGGATCCACAGCTTCTCTGAATAACCTGTTCCAATGTCTCACCACCTGCACATGGAAGAGTTTATTTTTAGTATATAATCAAACCCTACCCTCTTTCAATCTACAATCTGTGGGAAAAGTGAAAAAATATTATATTTGAATTATAGTCAACTATTATTAGAAGTTTTTGCCAGTTATTGATAGAAGAGAGCTTAGAAGCCGTGTGACATGTGGCATTTCAACAAGCACTGACAGGCCACAGACCAATGGTATCAGGGAAACAATTTATACCCATGTTTTGTGGTTGTTAACAAAATGAGTGAGCTGACCCTTGTACCAACAAACTGGAATGTTCTCTCTCCCTTAGTGTAAAGGACACTCTTCAGAGAGCTGCCTGGATACTGTTTGAATATCAGCCACATTTGAATATTACCACAAAGGTAAAGGGAATCTTGGCAGTACCGTGTGGTTTACCCCAAGGTTTTCATTTTTGACATCAGATGCTGCTTGCATTTCCCCCCTGTGAATTTCCAGATAGTCATGCAAGCTGGATTGAATTGCAGCATGATCACATATGGGAGTACAGACCAAGGAGGTTTTACAGATTTGAGGCAGCTAGGAATTATTTATTTCATGTCACTTATGAAATAGTAGCTATCAGCCAGCACTATAGTACAGCCACTCAGTATCTAATTTTTGTTGGAATAGTCCAAGGGGTTAGGAAAAAGAAGTGTTTAATGTGCTCCAAGTGGTGCATATTTTGTCATTTGGCAGCTTTCTGCTGAAGCTCTCCTACAAGGTGAGCAAAGTCAGATGGTTGATTTTTAGGTAGTAAAAGCTGACCAGTGGCATCTCCTGACTCCCTAGAATGGAAGCACTGTTAAACAACCCTCTGAGAACAGAATGCCCAAGAGTCATAACACTTCAAATCTAACTTTTTGTAAATTAGGGTGTAGGGAGCTAAGGCTGTTCTAAAGTTTTGAAAATGATTTTAGACCTTTTCAAGGCTGCAGAGAAAGACAGAAGCCCACATTAAGTTTGTTGGAGGCAGCTGGATTTTTAGAACTAAATAAAGCTACCCTCAGGATTACTCAGGCTACTTAGGTAGCCTGAATCCATGAGTTTCCTGAACAGGTAGTGTAGTATGACCAAAAAAATATATTTAGCCTAAGCCACAAAGGGGCAACTGGATGTAAATAGAGCAACAGTTAGAGGTAGTAGCAGTTTGAGTAAAATCAGGGGTAAGAAGTTGGATAAGAATATTAGTTCCTAAATGGGAACAAGTACGAGAGATGCAAGCTGCAAACATTATTTCACAGAATCCATTAGGTTGAAAAAGACTTCTGAGATCATTGAGTCCAAGCTTTGACCAAACACATCTTGTCAGCTAGACCATGGCACAGTGTCACTGCTTGACAGCCCTTTCTGTGAAGAAATTCCTCCTGATGTCCATCCTGAACCTTCCCCGGGGCAGCTTGAGGCTGCTGTCCTCGCATCTGGTTGCCTGGAAGAAGAGATGCCAACTCCCAGCTGGCTACATCCTCCTTTCAGGTAATTGTAGAGAGTGATAAGGAGAATTGAGATCATGAGAGTGGTTCCAGACACTGTTTGGGGGCAGGTGTCCAAGAAGCTGCATAGAGAAAGGGAAATAAAGGTTTCATGTTTCAGCTAGTCATGGAGAAAGCCAACCACAGATTGTAAAATTAACCTTTATGTAAAACTTGTTTCCTTTTCTCCTGCAGTACTTTTCCTTATTTTTATAAGATGTTACAGTATTTAAGTCATGCTTTTGC